GAGAGAGAGAGAGAGAGAGAGAGAGAGAGAGAGAGAGAAGGGGGGGGGGGACGAAAAGGCACAGGCAGACGCACCTTTGTCTGGATGTGCTTGAAGTTGACGCCCAGCTCCTCCAGCAGCGGCGGCTCGCCGTCGTACCCCTCGGTCGAAAAGGCGGCGAGCCAGCCGGTGCGCAGACCGCCCTGCTCGCCCATGCGTCCCGACACGCCTGCCGCGGCGCCGAATCCGCCGCCGAACCCAGGTGATCCCGCACCGCCAAACTGGCCGCCCGGCTGGGCGCCGTATCCGTAGGAAGCCTGCTGGGGGTTCCCCTGGCCCTGGACGCCGGGCCCGTAGGAGGAGGGGTAGAACTGGAGATTCTGGGCGCCGGCGCCGGCAGAGGGACCGGCGCCGTAGCCTTGGTTTGGTGGAGGGTTGTAGTAGTTCGACATGGCGGGTCGTCGTTGTGGGGGCGGGAGGGAGGGAGGTGGTTGAGGTTTTGGTGATGTGGACAGGTTGGAGCTTGGGTGGGAGCGAGCTTTCGTCGAGTTGATCAAGCTGTCTGCCTGCGTCGCCAGAGCGCACGGCGGTGAGTGGTCTGTGCATGGGGTGCCTGGCGTGCTGATTAAGCTGGCTGTGTCGAGCCGGTAGGATCCTTCGGCAGAGGCACATAGTGCTGTGAAATGCCTGGAAGCAGAGCAGGTGCCTGCGTTAGGTAGGGACCACCTTGGGTGTGTAGGTTCCTTAGCAGGCGGTAGCACTACAGCCGTATAACAGGCCTACACTCAGGTGCACTGGGAGTAGGAAAGAAACTGAGGTAGGCAGCATCCTAGCCAGCCAGTGCTAGGCGACGGATGTCAAGCTGGGCCGCCTTTTCTCTCATCCGTTTGCCCAGGTTCCTGGGTTTATGGCAGTGTCAAAACATGGATATTATTGATGGGGAAATATTATCTATTATTTGGTACTATCGCAACCATGCAGCACAATTGACCATGTAGCACAATTGACCATGTAGCAGCACAATGAAGCCATCGCTATCCATTCTACAGTCCGTCTCTCATTCCGCCTTCTTAAAGTCGCTCTCCGTCTCGAGCCACGCCTGCACATCCTTGAGCCCCGGGTGGATCTTCCGCAGCGCCTCAATGTCCGCATCGTAGCCCTCCTCGGCAAACCACCGGAACATGGACCCGAAATCCTTCATGAGCCACATGATGATCGACACAAGGATGCCGTTGGCACACGGCAGGTCCCGGCCCGTGGACCGCTTGAAGATGGCCGCGAACTCGTCGAGCGTCGGGTTCGCGCCCGCCAGCGACACGGCCCTGCCGGCCCACGCCTCGGGCTGCGCAAAGGCCTTGGCCGCGAAGACGCCAATGTCGCTGACGGCGACGAGCTGCAGGTTCTTGCCGCCGGCGCCCCGGCGCCAGGCCGTCGGGAAGACGCGGCCGAAGAAGTCGTCGGTCAGGTTCTCCATGAAGGCGACGGGGCGCAGGATCGTCCAGGCCATGCGCGTGCCCTCGGCGCGGGCCAGGAGGTGCTTCTCGATGGCGTGCTTGTGGATAAAGTGCGGCACGTCGGTCGGGTTCGTGCCCGACCGGTCGCCGTGGCGGTCGACGGACGTGTAGACGAAGAACTCGACGCCCGCGGCGAGGGAGGCGTCGACGAGGCCCTCGCCCTGGCGCTGCTCGTCGCCGGCGCCCGCCCCTATGCCGACCTGCACGCTGAAGACGCCCCAGACGGGCGCGCCGCTGAGGGCCTGGGCCGTTTTGAGGACGAGGCCCGGGTCGGCGAGGTCGCCCTCGACGAGCTTGATGCGTCTCGACTTATTGGCGAGGCGCTGTGCGGAGGCCGAGGATGGGTTGCGGGTGACGGCGAGGATGTCGAGGTCCGCATTGTCGGCGACGAGCGTGTTGATGACGGCGCCGCCTTGCTTGCCGGTGGCGCCAAAAATGAGAACTGATCGAGCCATCGTGGTGATGTAGTGTTGGTATGCAGGTCAGGGCGATGGATCGCTGGTGTTCTGTGAGGATGGGAGTGGGGTTGTGTGGTTTGAATTGATTGCACTGAATAGATCGATTGAAGTGATGCACGGAATAGATCGATTGAAGTGATGCACTGAACAGATCGTTTGAAGCAATGTACTGAATAGATCGATTGAAGTGATGAATGGTGGACGAGATGTGATTGAAGAGATCTGAACGCAAAAGGCAGTCCACTTGCTCAGTCTTATACCTCTCCAGCGTTTGCCATGATCGCGTCACACAATCGATCAGCTGCATGGGACGCACTCGCGCATGCTGAGAAATCCCGTGGCATATGCGCTCGCTGTCCGACCATGTCCGTCCCCTTGAGGACCAAAGTCTCCATAGCGCCGGACGCGGTCGGTGTCTGGGTGGGGGCCTCCTGTCGGCCTTGGTCGGACACCGGCCTCACAAATTGTGCATTTCGCTGGCTGCATTGCTAGGGTTGTTCCCCCCAAGTCTCCTCATCACCACCTGCATCGGACCCAAATTTGCGGCTGGTGTCGTCCGTGATTATCAACCATGGCCTTTTCGAGCTGTGTCGACAGCTTATCGGCAACAAGCCACAATGAATGAAGGGGGTCGAGTGCAGAAAAGGTGTATGAGTTCCATATTCCGCGGCTGCCTGTTCTACAGGGCAGGAGGGTGCCTGGAACTATATGTATGGTCTACCTACATGTATCTAGGTACCTAACTACCTAAGGTAGGTAGTCCCGGGTGGGCGAGCTATGGGAGGCACTGGGCGCACAGCCGCCTGGCACCAGGTGAAGGCCACTGACCGAGCGAAGGCCACTGACCAAGCGAATGCCACCACCAACAACAATCCTACCTACCTACCTACCTACCTACCCTTAACCAAGTTGGCATATCTCACTCACGAGCATCACAGAATCGAGACAGGTTTTCCAATACAAATTTCATTCATTATTCGTATCCAGAAATATTATCCAAGAGATTGTAGGTTTCCCCCATTCGTCACCCTTTCAACCATCATTCTCGGTAGAGACAGACTCCCATGCGGCAACGCGCCAAAGGAAACGCCAACATTACGAACTCTGTCATCAACACCGCGTCTGCTGCTCAGCATGAGCCGAGGCAGTTCCTCACACCGACCAACACACAACTGATCATCCAAGACGCTGACGAGCCCGGCCATGACGCACCATCAGACGCGACGGCATCGGCATGGCCTCGCCCGTCACTCATCTCGAAGCTCAGTAGTGGTTCTTCTTCTTGCACTGGCCGTTCCTGCAGGCCTCGCCGTAGCGACACTATGATGCGGTCAGCTTTTGCATCCCCTCGTCGACACATCGCAGCCGCCTCGACATACCTTGTTGTTGCACTTGCCGCAGTTGCCGTCATCCCACTTGAGGTTGGCGCAGTCCCATCCGCACCGCGTCAGGCCATAGGGACAGGTGGGGGGAACGCATTTGCCGTTCTTGCACGTCCAGCCCGTCTTGCACTGTGATCGAAGAACAAAGTCCAACCGTCAGCGCCTGTGCTACTTTTGCGAGGAGGAGGCAGTGGAGGGGAGGATGCGTCGTCGAACACTCACATGCTTGCCGCACTTGCCGCAGTTCTTCTCGTCCGTCCACTTGTTCACGCACTGGTCGCCGCACTTGATCTTCCACCGCGGGCACGTGACCTTCTTCTTGCAGACGCCGTACTCGCACCGCTCGTTGTGGTCGCAGCAGTCCCGGCCGCACTGGATCTTGTATCGCGGGCACGTCGGGATCTTCTTGCACTGGCCGTACTTGCACTCCTCGCCCTTCTTGCAGCAGTTCTTGCCACACGTCTTCTCGGCGGGACAGGTCGGGATCTTCTGACACTGGCCGTACGCGCACTTCTCGTCGGCTTTGCAGCAGGCCTTTCCACAGGTCTTGTCGGCGGGACAGACGGGGATCTTCTTACAGACGCCATACTCGCACTTCTCGTCCGACTTACAGCAGGCTTTGCCGCATGTCTTTTCGGCAGGGCAAGTAGGGATCTTCTTGCACTGGCCGTACTCGCATTTCTCGTCGGATTTGCAGCAGGCCTTTCCGCAGGTCTTTTCGGCAGGGCAAGTAGGAATCTTCTTACACTGGCCGTACTCGCATTTCTCGTCGGATTTGCAGCAGGCCTTGCCGCACGTCTTCTCGACGGGACAGACGGGGATCTTCTTGCAGATGCCATACTCGCACTTCTCGTCGGATTTACAGCAAGCCTTTCCGCAGGTCTTTTCGGCAGGGCAAGTAGGAATCTTCTTGCAGACACCATACTCACACTTCTCGTCGGCCTTGCAACAGGCTTTGCCGCAAGTCTTCTCGGTAGGGCAAGTAGGAATCTTCTTACAGACACCATACTCACACTTCTCGTCGGCCTTGCAACAGGCCTTTCCGCAGGTCTTGTCGGCTGCGCATACCGGAATCTTCGTGCAAGTGCCATATTCACACTTCTCGTCCGACTTACAGCAGGCTTTGCCGCAGGTCTTGTCAGTAGGGCAGACGGGAATCTTCGTGCAGACGCCGTAGTCGCATTTTTCGTCAGACTTGCAACAGGCCTTGCCACAGGTCTTGTCGGCCGGGCAGACGGGAATCTTCGTGCAGGCGCCGTATTCGCACTTTTCGTCCGATTTGCACTGGAGGTCCTGGTTAGCGACGCTTTTCCATCGATGGAGTACCACTTACGCAGGCCTTGCCGCACGTCTTCTCCACGGGGCACACGGGGATCTTCTTGCACTCGCCGTATTCGCACTTTTCGTCGGACTTACAACAAGCCTTTCCACAGGTCTTGTCGGCTGGGCACACGGGAATCTTCTTGCACTCGCCGTATTCGCATTTCTCGTCGGCTTTGCACTGCAGGTCCTGGTTAGAAGGCTCTTGATGCCGGATCAGATTCACTCACGCAGGCCTTGCCGCACGTCTTCTCTACTGGGCAGACCGGGATCTTCTTGCATTCGCCGTACTCACACTTCTCGTCCGCCTTGCACTACAGGCTGGTTAGCCAGCTCACGGAACAAATAGGAAGTAACTTACGCAGGCCTTTCCGCATGTCTTCTCGACGGGACAGACGGGGATCTTTTTGCACTCGCCATATTCGCACTTCTCATCGGCCTTGCACTGCTAGGGAATCAGAGACGTCGCCGGGAGCGGATCAGAGGGGCGCGCCACTCACGCAAGCCTTCCCGCATGTCTTCTCGACAGGACAGACCGGAATCTTCTTGCACTCGCCATATTCGCACTTCTCGTCTGATTTGCACTATCGAAAAGTCAGGCATCTCGAAAACGCGGATCGAGAAGGGTAATTACTCACGCAAGCCTTTCCGCAGGTCTTCTCTACAGGACATACGGGGATCTTCTTGCATTCGCCGTATTCGCACTTCTCGTCGGCCTTGCACTGTGGAGAGTCAGTAACACATCGCTCTGCAGAGCGGAATGGGGGGTTTACGTACACAAGCCTTTCCACAGGTCTTCTCTACAGGACATACGGGGATCTTCTTGCATTCACCGTACTCGCACTTCTCGTCGGCCTTGCACTTTGAGCTTGTCAGTCATGTTCTGGGGAGCGGATGATCGCGGTCACGTACGCAAGCCTTGCCACATGTCTTCTCGACGGGGCATACAGGAATCTTCTTGCATTCCCCATATTCGCACTTCTCATCGGATTTGCACTGCGAGAGAGTCAGACAATGCCAAGAAGAGTCTCCAGACAGAAGTACTCACGCAGGCTTTACCGCACGTCTTCTCGACAGGGCACACGGGAATCTTTTGGCATGCTCCGTACTCGCACTTTTCATCCGCCTTACACTAAAGGCGGTAGTTAGTATCTGGCCACTAAGTGTATGAGGGGTTCTTACGCAGGCCTTTCCGCAGGTCTTCTCGACAGGGCATACGGGAATCTTAGTACATTGGCCGTACTCGCACTTCTCGTCGGATTTACACTGGGGCATTGTCAGAATCAGAGTGCTTCAGACACCTGGGAGAACTTACGCAAGCCTTGCCGCAGGTCTTTTCGACAGGACACACAGGGATCTTGTTGCATTGGCCGTACTCGCACTTCTCGTCGTCCTTGCACTACGTGGCCATCAGTACGCGACATCCAGGGAAGGCACTAGGATATGCTTACACAAGCCTTGCCACAAGTCTTCTCGACAGAGCAAGTAGGCTTCTTCTTGCACTGGCCGTATTCACATGTCTCGTCCTCCTTGCACTACACGGATATCAGAACGTGGCATCAAGTGGAATGCGTTGTGTTTGCTTACACAGGCCTTGCCACAAGTCTTCTCGACGGCACAAACGGGCTTCTTCTTGCATTGGCCGTACTCGCATGTCTCGTCATCCTTGCACTAAGTGATGTTAGAATACTCTTCCAAAGACCAAAGGTGGAACGTTGCTTACACAAGCTTTGCCGCAGGTCTTTTCGACAGAGCAGGTAGGCTTCTTCTTGCACTGCCCATACTCGCAAGTCTCATCATCCTTGCACTAAGGGACGTCAGAGCACGACTCAAATGCCTTAAAATGTGGATACTAACGCAGGCCTTGCCACAGGTCTTCTCGACGGAGCAGACGGGCTTCGTCTTGCACTGACCATATTCGCATGTCTCAGATGTAGTGCACTGAAGACAAAGTTAGAGGACAGTATGTTAACGGTCAAGACATGGCTTCTTACACAGGCATCTCCACACTTCTGGGCTGTCGGACAGGTGTTAATCTTAGTGCATTGGCCATACTGGCATTTCTCGTCAGGCTGACACTATTTTCAGAGTCAGTAAGAGATTAAGTTGACGAGCCCGTGATGAACAAACGCATTTGGTGTCGCATTTCTGAGCGTATGGGCAAGTGACTTCACCCCGTGGGTCAACAGCAGCAGCAGCAGCCAGTGCCCCCTGTACCATGAAAATGGACAGGAGCATAAGGAGGAGCTTCAAAGTAGACTTCATGATGACGATCCTCAGTGACAAGAAGAGTAATAGGATCTGGCTGGAGAGGAAAAACCTTGCTTTTTCCGACTGCAGGGCGAGCAACTCGGTTCGATACTTTATAAATTATCTTCCACGCACCGATTCCAAGTCCGGACGCAGTCAGCCATCATGCAGCCATCTGATCACACTGAGCTGAGATTGAGCCGCAGAACTAGTGCAGCTTGATGTTGCAAGATTAGGCTGGATGTTGCTATAATGTTGAGCAATTTCGCAAGGCTTGAGCCACCATGAACTCAATCCGACAAGTAGTTACGGGATTAGCTCGCAGCCGAAGGCTCAAGACCTCAATGCCAAGAAGGAACAGCTGTCGCACCGTCCTCGTATTAGTGAAGCCACTGAGGGCCTCCGGCCGATGAGAGCTCTTCCTTTGCTGGTGTTACGTTTCTATTCTCCGATGGCTGATCACAGCCGTACTCAGCGACATGGTGGTGTTGTCTAGCACACGCCCCTGGCGTCGTTGTTGCCAACTCCTCGAGCCACTCATGACAGCATCAGCCTTAGGGCTGATGATACATCATACTGTAACTTGTATAGTCCTGGAATGCTGCATGGTCCGGACGGCCGGCTTTCCCTCGACAGCCCCGACTGGCCGCCCGTTGGCGGGCCTGACTTGGAAAAGGATGCCAAGCCACGTTGGCCGAACCCAGCTGTCGTCCCATCAGAAAGCGTCCTACTCCAATTCTCGTATTCAGCACAACGGTGTGCTGACCGAGCTAGCCACCGCCACTAAGGAGAGGTTCCCCAGAGGAGCACCTGGACCTGGAACCTTCCAAAAAAAGAAGAACCCCAGGTCTTGGTCTCTTCAGCTACCTTACCCCGCGACGTGGTGCCCCTTGCTCCGGCACTGGTACCCGAATAGCTCCCTGGCTGCTGGGATGCCCTTCACCATCTAGCTTACCCGCTCAACACGCCACATTGTTTGGCCCCACTTTGAGTTCTTTGTCCACAGACTCAGGGGCTTAAGCATGGCAGGTTGAAGCGTCGAGATTAATTCGAAGCTAGACCTAATTGTCGTCGCTTTCCATGTGGCTGCATGAGTGTCGAGCGATACCGCCTCGAGCGGTGAAATTCGATAGTCTACGCCGCTATAGTAAGCTTGAATCTAATCGCGATTCAAAAGAGAGCTGCTCGATCGACGACAGTGGAGCAGAGTCTCCTGCAGCTAAGGCATGTTTACTCTGTGACGTAGAACCCTAATCCGTTCGCCTGGCGGACATGCGTGACAATCCACCTACTGTCAAGTAGAGCACGACCGAAGTACCCGATGCTCACTCTATGATCTTATGATGATGCCCAAGGCGACCTGTCACGGCGCTAGACACGCCGGCGATGCCCAGACCGAGCGAGCTGGCACACAAAAGACGCAATAACTAAACGTAATTCGGGGTGTATTGTGACTTATGGTCATCATGACCTGCCACTACTCTTCCTCTGAAGATCCCGTTTGCATTTCCACGCGCTGTGTCCAGGGGCAACTGCACTCGTGACTGGAGCCAACACTCACCTGCCGTCAGCCCCAGATTTCCTTGCCTTCTTGTTGAGGAAACAAGCATGAGTCAAGGATAGCAGATCAATGCGGTGTCCTGGACGTCTAGATCTTCGCTTACACGGTCGGGGGAGTGACGGCCAGACACCTGTCACCACCAGAAGTAATCATGCTTACTCCTGTCGGGACCTGCATGACATGACGGGCTGTGTCTGCTGAGTGGCTTGCCGTTATACGACAATTAAACCGTGCGAGCAAATTCGAACTGTGCTCTATCCGATCACCTACTGGTCGGCTTGGCATTCCTCCTCGGGCGTGGATGGTTCGTTATTTTTGGGAGTAGCGGCCGTCAGCCGCATGCCTCGCCCGTGACCCCGCACTGCCTGCAGCTCGCCCTGATTAATGTTGCAGATATCGACAGAAGTATGACGTGCGGCTGGGTGACTACATCTGAATTGGGCCGTGACACCGGCCGGCAGGCTGATGCGGTTCAGCCGTGGCCGTTGAGCGCCCTTTGTAGCTGGAGACGTTGCGTGAACCGGCCAGCTCTGTCCATGGAACTCTGAGTCTTGTATTGTTTGCCGATTGACGCACCTTCGAAAGATTTCTAACATCGCAGCATGAGAATGCTTCAGTCGTGACCATGTCTTACCAAGGCCGCTAAAGCGTTCCGCGACCCAAGCTCATCATCCGGCTGCTCGGGTCGGGTCACGGATCAGGGGCATTCTGAAAGAACAAAGACCAAGGGTTCCTGTTGTTGAGGCAGGTTTCAATCTCAAACTGTTCTCTCTCCAGCCGTTTTGGGTATAGGCTGATTTTCGTCGGCTAAATTGACTGAGACACTCTACTATCTAGATGATCGTCTCGCTCTAAGGGAACTAAGGAAGCATGTCATTGTGTAGCCCATCCAAGGCTGAGCTTCAGTAATTTTCTAAGATTTCTTGCTGTGACAGCAGTCGAAGGAAACCGGCATCAGCTTTGAAAGGAATATGTTGGACAAGGCGCCTTCGTGTCGCGAGGAAAACTCCGACCAATTGGGGCATCTAATACCCTACCGCGAGCAAATTATCTTACGATCAGCTGCATCGAGACTCAGGCGATCGAGCTAAGGTAGCCTTTGTCTGGACGCCAACGCCCTTATTTCTTTGTTCTTCGTCCCACGAGGCTGGTATCGCAAGCGTGCGGCGGATGTACGGCAAATTGGCCATCCACGTTCTCCACAAGAAAGACGGCTGTTGAGGTGACAAAGCCAGAATTCCCAAGGTTATGGGATGGGATCCATCATGCCTGTACTCATGACTGCTTCACGTAAACGTTGGAGAAATTCATTTCCAATCCACAGACCTGTGAAGTTGATGAAGTATTCTGAAGTTCCACATCTCGACATCGAGAAGTTAGTTGAACACAAGCTACAACTCGGGCCTAAACCACAGTGGCTACTGCAGCTAGCGTTCACAAATAAAGCGGACGGCTGCAACGTTCAAACGGGGTAGGCGTGTCAAGGTGGCACAGCATAGGGAAAATTAATTTATGGTTTAACTTCAGTTCAATCAGCCAAAAAGCTATGTACATCGGAAAATCATAGATATCAGAAACAAAGTCTCCTGCAGCCATCACCTGGCTCTCAATCCATCAGCAAGCTTAGGCGGACCACTCGGTCGTGGCACCCAGAGCATCGCCGTTGGCAGGGGCGAGGAAATCGCTGGGCGCGATGCGGCCGTCAGCCAGGCGCGGCCCGGTGATGAGGTCAATGTTGGTGCTCTTGAAGTCCGAGTTGCTCCAATTGGAGCTGCCGTCCCAGCTGTTACCACGCGACGTGACGCCCGAAACAAGGTAGACTTGGTCATCGTTGTCGGTGGACCCGTGGTTCTCAGCGGCCAGGTTGCCTTCGTAGGTAGCAATGGATGAACGCGTGTTGAAGCCTTCCTCGCCGTTGTTCCAGGCCGTGTTACGCGTGAAGGTCATGTCGCCGGGCATGTTGTTATCCGTGTACCCGCGACGCTTGTTGCCAAAGGAGATGACATTCGTGATGACGTGGTTGACCTCCCCACGGTCGGAGGCGGAGGAACCGCCCCCGAGCTTGACACCATGACCGTCGTTCTCATGTGGGTTGAAGCCCCAATGGTTGAAGCCGTTGCCGTAGACAATACAGTCGAGAATCGTCACGTCCGAGAGGAACTCCCAAAGGTCCAGGCCATCGTCGGAGTTGTCCCAGAGGCGTGCCCCACGGATAACATTCCCCTCACCGGAACCTTCCTTGAGGGAGATTCCGTCGGCCGACTTGCCGTTTTTGCGGGGGTCGGCGTTCATGTACGAATCGAGGTAGGCGATCTCTGTGTTGGAAATACTGTTCTGGAGGTGGAATCCAGACTCGTAGTTGTCGTGAGTTGTAATGCGCTCAAAGTAATTGTTATGCGAATCCTTGACATAGACGCCGTACGGACCGTGGATGAATGTCAAGTTGTACATGCGCCAGTAATCAGCTTTCTCGAAGTGGAATACACCACGGTCCGAGTTAGGTAGGTCACCACCGTACGGGACAGGGTTGTTGGGAAAGTTATCACCGTCGACGATAACCTCCTCACCCTCGTATGCTGCGATGGTGTAAGGGTTGCTGGAAGTGCCACTCTTGCGAATCTGGATATTGGCCGACGGTTTGTAAGTGCCGGCACGAAGATAGATGTTGTCGCCGGCCGAGGCGGCGTCGACGGCATCTTGAATAGAGGCGAACGGCGAACCGATGGAACCACTGCCCGAGTTGCTACCGTCTGTGGCAACGAAGATATCCGCCGCCAGAGCGAGGGGAAGTGCGACGGCAACGAAAAACTTGGCGAAGCTCATGGTTATGAGGCTTTGATTACTCTAAGAGTAAGTTTAGAGTATGTTGAGCGTGATGGAACTACGTAACAAGGGCAAAAGGGGATACAGAGCTATGAATGAAAGTGTGGTGAGCGTAGGGCTTGCAACCTCATAGCATCTATGGGATGGCTGGCTTCAGTCCTTTATACCGCGGCTACTTAGCCGAGGCTTGCCGTTCCGTTTGAAAGCTATGGCCGATTTTTGCAACGCTGGGTGATTCTTGACTGGGCGCCATGGCTTTGTCAGATCTTGACAGTGATTCTATAGATTGGAGGAGATATTTGCGGGGTTTGCACTCGATCCTGTTGGTGGAACGAGACTCGACGGGACACTGTGGTTAGGAACTTGACCTAGAACTTGCTCCACGCGATACGGGACACGTGGGAGAAATTGTGCCCAGAGTACACTTTTGCCTAAGCGGGTGCATGATGATGCGTTCTCACCGGCTCTGAAGTGAATTATCCCAGCAAACAGGCGACACGACGGGGCACCCGAACTGAAATTCGGGCCAGGACCAACCCCACGAACCCCTCTCTAGGTAATTCACGGCACTGGGTCAGTGGAACTGTGGATGACGCGGACACCCCAGCCAAGAACCATTGCAGTGGAAGTACTTCCGAAAGAAGAAGGCTGACGGGTGAGGCTGCGAAAGTGGCAGTGATCAACCAATTCAATAAAGGGGTAGGCAAGTAGACGGGCATGCGATCCCACCACTGGGATATTTCTTGCTAGGGAATTCCGGCGGAATGATACAAGAGCCCGATGTCAACGTGGGGTTCCTGTAGAGTGGTAGGGATCAGCGGTCCTGAATTCTGGGAATCTGCCGAATTCCATGTTGGCAGCTTGGCGATGTCGAAATCTTTGCTTGTCGCTGCCTCCAATAGATGAAGAGTCCACTAGGGTCCTGAGCTGAGGTCTCTAGTGTCCGCCGCCAGCGTGCTGTCTATCGATAATGGTGGAGGTCTTTTATTCTACACAAAATGCCGAAGCAATGCAGAATCGAGTTTAAGCGACATTCAGAAACTTCGCTCATCATTTGGTCTTTGCCTGGTCTATAGATGCCCAGGGTGCAACACAACAGGAGGAGGAGGGTATACAAGTGCAGAGGAGGTATGAGAACACTCTGTTGCGTCTTGGCGGAGCCAAGAAAAAGCGTGTTGCGTGCCGCCCCGCTTCGATCCGCATAAACCCACTAAAGGAGACTTCGCGTGGGCTTGGGATTATGCACTCGGGTCCAAATCCTCGTCTTTAAAGGGCATGGCCGTCTGAGGAGTCTGAGAAAACACAAGAGATGTATATAAACATTGATCAGTGCTGATATAATAGCATGACGGCCACTTGGTGAATTAAATATTGTAGAAGGCGGAAGTCCCAGAGTTAGTCACTACTCTAGGTCCATCAGATTCACTGTAGTCACTGACAGGTATAACACCAAACTGTTCTGTCGTACGGTACAAAGTCGATTCATCACACTAAGAGGTTTCTCACAACGAGAAACAGGTTTGAAGCTCATGACATTGTCAGCCATAACTATTCTGGCATTAGAATGACCATGACTGCTCCTTGGGTCTTGATGCGTCGCTGTCCTTCAAAGCTCCAAGCGGCCTTGACAATACTATCGAACGACTTTTGCGTGAGCCCAGTTCAGGTAGTTTAATTGAAAGTTTTCCATCCACTCACGATGCCATAATTATACTTCAAGATTGATGAACCTTTCCACTAAGTGGTTACCGTATCTCTGACGCCCAACATCTCTCACGAGGTTGTGTAGCTTCGAACCTGGTAGCTAGCCTCGCACATCCCACTATAATCCTCTGTGATGAACGTCTTCAGAAAAAGCTTGTAGTGTTTCTAGAGATTTTGCACAGGGCTTTGAATCAGGACTAAAGTACCAGACTCCCAATGGAAATCGGTTCTCGAGGAGTCCAACTTCAAGAGCCTCTAGAGGTCCAGGAATAACTGGTGATAACAGAGTCATTCTCAATGATGGGATTTGCGAAGAAGCCCGCCCAAACGACTCAAACAGAGGTGTCAGTGAGTCCTCATTTGGGAGTACCTTTTCGATCGCTGTTACGAATCCTGGCTGCCTCAACAGGAAAAGGTGCTTGCCGTTCTGGCTGACCCCAGCCTCGCCGCGTCCGTAGCGAGGTGGTAGATCTGTCTCTAATATTGTAGTTAAGTCATCGTCATCGGACTGGTCAGATATCCTGCTCGGGTCCCAGAAACACTGGCCCCCAGAGGATGTCCCGTCTCAAAGTGAGCCGTATGGCATTCCAAGCTCTGCCAGTAAGGAGCTCTGCCAGTAAGGAGCTCTGCCAGTAAGGAGCTCTGCCAGTAAGGAGCTCTGCCAGTAAGGAGCTCTGCCAGTAAGGCTCTACCAAGGCAGGGGAAGGTCCGGGAAAGAACATTGAGTCATCCATCGTGCCTAGGATCGTGAGACTTCAGAGCGCAGGCAAGGTCCCTGTAGTAGCACGAATTGCGTTGCTCAGCGGATCCACGATGAACTCACCCAGCAAATGAGCATCGAAGGAAAACCTTGGCGTCCAATTCCACATGGATTCCATATTCAAACGGAAGGATTGCAAGGAAGACGCCTGAGGCAGAAGGCCTGTGATTGCTTCTGCCAGATCGCGACGATGGTGCCGACGCAATGTGTTGCTCGGAATTTCCCAGTCGTTCATCTTCCAGTCGGCTTTGTGGAGGTCTTGTAGCTTAGCAGCTATATCAACCGGAACGCGATCGGTGATGTGTCTGGTGAGATTTGGCACCACAAAAGACGCGGTCATTTCTACGACTGGCAACTCGGAAGGTCAAAGGAGATGTACGTGTGAGCATTGTCATCGCCAGCTCCATAGGCCAAGTTTGAAATGCTCTATGGGGTCGACCTCTAGATAGAGACTACATTTGGGTTCGTGAAAAGGAGATGTACGACAGAGAAAGCAATGGTCCGAACCAGAGTATACGTCTTTCAGGCGAGGCGTGATGTGGCCATCTGTGCGAGGATCCCAAATTTTGAGGATATGAAATAGACCATGAATGGCAGCCGTCAATGCCTTGTCATTTGATCGTCTATGGTCATCGTGCTCAAATCAGATGCGTACATCGGTGTCATGTGGAGGCAGTATGGTGTGGTATTCGATGACATTCACGTTTCGATGACGATCAGAGTGGACGGTTCGCTTGGACTTGTCTAGTTCAAGTACTTCGCACTGTGATCTGTTTGAAGGTCGGTTGCTCGACGGCTACTTGCCATACGCGTCAGACGGTGGCCGGGGCTGGTGTATTGTACTGTGGACGGGAGAGGACTGGGCTGATGGTATCGTAAATGTGCTGGTGAGGTTTATACATATTGGCAGCCGAGCAACGTCAAGTGGCAGTTTCCGAACTGGTACAGTATACGACGGCTGGCACCCAAAAGGAAACGTTTGGAGAACTCCAAGTGATTGACAGCAACACAGATGAGGTCCAGACAACGCGTGATGTATTTTGAAACGCAGCTGAGGAGCTAGAACGAGGTAAACGCCTCCTGTGCCATTCCATTGGAGCATCGACACAACACTTTGGAACCAATGGTGCTCTTTTACTCGTTGTCGAGCGTTCACGGTAATTCGTGATGAACTGGAGACACGTGACCAACTCTGAGTCGGCGGCCTACGTCCGCTTACATAAGGTTTGGACGTAATCCCTTAGTCAGCACGGAATTTCATCGGCAACTTCTTTCGCCGCCGTCGCATTCCGAGTCTCGCCATGACGGATTTTTCCCAGGTCGGCACCATCACCATCCCCTTCACGCGACCGAACCCGCATCCCGAGGCCCATCGCGCCCCCGCCGGACGACCCCATCGCCAGATCACCGAGCACCTTTCACAGACGTCAAGATGGTACGCCGGCACCTCTCCCTGGACCCCGAACCCTGGGGATCAGCCACGCTAACAACAACTTTCTTCCCCCCCCTGCAGGCGCACCGTCTCATAACCCAGATCGTCTTCGTCGGCACCCGCATCGTCGGCCGCTCCTTCGCCGCCGCCTACCGCCAGGCCCAAGCCTCGTCCGAGTACGCCCGCGCGCAGGCCAAGAACGGCGGCACCGCCACGGCCGGCGGCCGCGCCAACCTCGCCAGCGGCATGACCCTCGACGAGGCGTGCCGCATCCTCAACGTCAAGCCGCCCAAGGACGGCGTCGCGCCCGAGGAGGTCTTCGACCGCTTCAAGAAGCTCTTCGACGCCAACAACCCCGAGAAGGGCGGCAGCTTCTACCTACAGAGCAAGGTGCTGCGGGCGCGCGAGCGCCTCGAGCGCGAGATCGGGCCCATGCTCGAGAAAGCCGAGGCCGAGGCCGAGGTCAAGGAGGGCTTCAAGCCGAAACTGTACAAGGACAAATGAGCGGCCCACGGCTCTAGCTGGCTGGCTAAGGCAACTTGATATCTGCGGCCCTCGGACGGCAACGGGAGGGTGTGCCTCTTACGAAACGGCACAGCACGAACGCCTGGCAACCGAATGATTGACGCCTGATCCGAGTCTTGCAATCCCAGTGCTCTCCACGAGCATCGCGTAAAACACCACGACCCCCTGCTTTTGGGGCCCTGCACATATTACAACAAACACACACCACTTCTCTCGACTCCGCATGGCAAGGCGTTTTTGGGGCGGTCCCCCGGTTGGGGCATGCCGCATCTTTGGATGGGTTTAGACGAAGAGAAAAAAAGGGAAGACGTCCCGGCTTGTCTTTTGATAATCGATGTATACTACGGGAAGGGGGGGGGAGCAGGGCGCCGCGTGGTGCTTAGCAGATTTGAATGCGTATTTTGTACAACACTGCTCAACGTATCAATACGTCAGATGACTCAACAATTGGATCCATGGCCCGGTGATGTAGGAGGATCCTTCGCCCATGCAGTGGATCGACCTCGGCCAGGAGTGGCAGCGTCATTCTTGGTTCAGGTCGAGAACAACGTCGAGCACCGCCTGCACGTCACACTCAAATCCAACGTCGCATCCGGTCATCGGATCCTCGGATCCTCACCCTGCATGTATGATCCCCACGTCTCAACCAGCTCCGGTGTGTTGGGTCCCGCTCCCTGAACGGGTCTGTGAGACCACCAAAAAAATCGGGATCAACTCCTCCGAACGATCACGCTGCACGCCATTTTGACCTCATAGTATGTATCGGTGATCTTCACACGCCAGAAAGGAACGCAAAGGCCAGACACGAAGGAAATAAATTGAATGCACGAGTTGTCGGCGAACGCAACTCTGCCAGGGTATCTAGAAATATGGACAATACCAATGCCGTCCATCAGCCAACCGACCAGATCCCGTATCCGTACACCATGAAGCCAAACCACCAGTTTTTTCCCCCCAGACCGCCGCCAAGCCTAACCGTATCATACCATCCGTGACCCTGTTTTGTCTTCCTGTCGTTATCTTGTGCTTTGACGCTGAATGAAACCGTGAGCGTCGTGCGTGCCCTACACGCGCATCGTGGAGAATCGACTGCCCCCGCGCTCAGGCGACATGGGAATCGCCATGCCAATGTCTCCGACGCTCCGCCTCCTGCTCATATCTTGCGCGGACTCCTCCTCGGGCAGGTCCATCATGGAAGACCGGAAGGCCGGTGTCGGTGCTCGTTCGTTGACGGTGGGAAGGTATCCAAAGGGGGAGAGCTCTGAGCTTTGCGTCCTCCGCTTCGGGTGAGGATGCGCTCGCACGGGGATCCTGATTTGTGCTGCCGTCGGCCAGCCTGGTAGGCCTGGGCCCGTGACGGCTGGGGAACCAAGGATACCTGGGTCGTCGGCGGGGAGGGGTGGGGGCGTCACTGACGGGGCTGCTGGTGCCATCGCAGTCGGGGGAGGATAGGGTTCGACGGGGTGGCGGTAGCGGTGCCAGAACATGATGCCGATCGTTGCTGCAACGATAACGAAGACGATGATGCCAGCGATGAGACCGGTGAGTTCGTCGGTGGACAGGCGTGAAGAGGAGGAAGACGGGGCCATTGTTGAAGCGGCGTCGGAGTCGGATTCGGAGGTTGATGTGGGAGACGAGGTGGACGTAGGCGCCGTTTCGCTGAGAGTGTTGTTGGAGGTTGAGGAAGGGGATATTACAGACGTGGCGAACGTGGAGGGAAAGATGCTCGATTCGACGCCGGAGGATGTCGTCGTGGACTGTTCTCCAGCGCTGGTAGAGGGTATCACGCTTGAGGGGTCGACGAAGACGGTGCTTGTGGTTGTGGTAGTGGCGCCAGGGGCACTCGTGCGGGTGACAATGACTGTCTGGGTGACGGTCGTAATCAAGTCTGCTTCGGCCGGTACCGTCACAGTCTCGATGACCTCGATGGTCGTAGTGGAAGGAACGGGCTCCTGACGCTCGTACAAGTGGGGTGCAGATGAAATTAGAGTTGTGGTAGAGTCGTATGAAGGGATCGAAAAAGATTCGCGCTGGCTGTGACGCAAGTGAGGCTGCTGCCCCTCCTGCCTTGCTCGTCGTGCAAGTCCACCTCGGTTCTTGACAGCAGCGAATCGAGCATCCGTGACCGTCGCAATGGCGAGCTGGAACCCAACTACAGGGTCGACGAGGTTGACAGTCTCAGTGATGGTGGCATAGACAACCTTGGTGTGGCTTCCCTCTGTGACAGTGACCGTGCGACTGACTGTCGCCGTTTCAAGAGCACCGCCCTCTTGCCTGACTTGCAACGTCCCTGAGCTTTTCGGGTTGGGTGATGGTGTGGGTGAGGTGACGGGCGCTGCACTGGCAAGTCCAGAGATGACCAGGCAGAGCGACGCAACCGAGAAAATACGCATTATTATTCTTTATCGTGTACTTGACATGCTGATGCCGTGGGGTGTATAGCTGAACCCAGAGAGAGTGGACGGGAGGGCAAGCAAAAAGAGTGAGCTGCCGAGTTCCCTAGAGCGAATGCTGCCGCAACAAAAAAGGACTGAAAAGAACGTGTAGACGAGAGAACTACCTTCCAGAGCCGGTCACCTGGATGTCAGCATGCAGGATCGCCCTCCATGATATGGCGCGCAGGACATGGCATGGCAAGGTCCCGAGGGGCAGGCGATGGTGGAGGGGCCCCTGTTCCGGCCGTGTAGGGATGACATGGGAATGGGCCTCTGTGGCGGCGCGGGATGGACCTCGCTGCGTGACCCGAGCAGCGTGCACCAGCTTGTCAATCCATAAAGGGTGGTGCGCTCAGCCTCTTGACGTCCCTTGGATCAGATCAAAAGTGGCCTTGTGGGCAAGGGAGGTCGTTGTTGGGCGATGGCTATACAAGAAGCGGGATAATGCGTCGTTCCCGATCAGGAAGTGGGCGCAAGGGCTCGTCTCGAAGATCCCTGCTCGGCACCGGAATCTGGAACGATACTGGGCACGAGGGAGGGCTGCCATGGCGCGCTTCGCATGAAGACCATGACGACAACGACGGGGTCCGCGGGATGGATGGGAGGGGAGGGGAGCTGCCATCCGAAGAATGTTCATTCTAATTGAGACGAATATATCCAATGTTCATCTGGGAGCGTTCAGTCTGGGAAATGAAGTGTGCAGAATCACCACGAGTCGGAGACCATGATGCCAAGCACAGTCGAGAGACACAAGCTGCATGAGCATCGCGAACTGCTTCCACTCTGACGGCGGGGCTGCTTCCTCGAGGCGAGTCTCAAGTCAGAGGCGACAAGGATGGCATGAGTCGAGAAGTGATGAATCGTTCCCCGGTGTGTCCGAAAGAGAAAAAAAATCATCTTCGAGCAGAGGCCCTGCTGCGAAAACGACAAACGCGCTCTGACGTGGGGAGAAGTCTGAGACGAAGACAGGAGGAGGCCGATGGAGTCGTGTCTGAGATGCCTGGGAATGGCCCATGCTGGATATGAAACACATCACGTGACTTCGTGACATAAGCGGCACGAGCCATGGGGAGGCACCACCCGGTTCAGGGATGGTCCCTTGGGACGACTCGCGGCCTATCGAACCGAACGACAACCCTTGATCGACTCAATTTACAGGATCCTTCCCCGTGAGCCCACATCATCTTAGCTCGCATGATCGTCCCATGGTAGCTTCAATGCCCACACGCTGTTCCGCCAAAGGTCATTGAGGCAAGCAATCTAGGGCGGATCCCGGCCGAGTCGTTTTCGGTTGAGACGCCATTATTGTCAACCCCGAAACAGACCAGCGATCGATCACGGGGTCGATAATCGATTGCCGGGAATGCCACGTCGATGTGAGGCCGACAGGCACCGAGCACAGCCTTTGGCATTGATGATCATGCTCCCGAGTCGTGGTCACGAGGCAACTACCAGGCCACGAAGTCATCGAAGAAGAGACATGCAGTCGTGTATTCATCAGCTCCCTGGCCTCGGCTCCCTTCAAGCCCCAAATCCCATGTCAGATCACGCCTGAGATATCGATCAAACCATACATCTTCCAACTCCAGCGCCCGCTAAGAACAAAATGTCCGAACAAAAGAACACTCAAAGGATTGTCGATTACACCTGATCACCTTGTCTCTCTTGCTCTCCGCTTGTCGGCCGATAGAGATATCTCTTGCTCTCCGCTTGTCGGCCGATAGAGATATGCCCTACCCCGGTAGACACTCGTCGGACTCGTCGGGCTTGCCGGCGCCAACGGGTCGTTGAGCCCGACCACGAGACTCTCCTCGCTCCGACTCCACCGATCACCAAGCGCCCGTGGTCTCTCGAGCCCCATCTCCAGGCACTCGGCATCGCCCTCCAGGTGCCCGCTCACCTCTGACGTTCGTCGGCTGACGTCCAGTATTGGCCTGTCGTCTCCCATTCCGAGCCGACTCCTGTTCGCCGTAGCACCGGCAGACATGCCGCCGACCATGCTCCTCAAGCTCAGCGACGTCGGCGTCCTCATGCCCACGAGCGCAACAGCCGGCATGGGCGGTCGCGGCGCCCCCTTTCTCGTCTTGGTCAACTTGTTCAGACCGCTGCCAACGCTCCCGTTGCGGCTTCGCCCCAGCTCAGGTGTCCCCGGCTCCGTCCACGGATACCCTCTGTAGCTGACGGCCGTCAGATTCTCGCTGCGCACCGCCGTCGGGGCGGCGGGCATCGCCGGCACGAGGGGCCTCATGGACCTCCGGCGCGGATCGGCCATGATCCACGGGTACATTCTCGCGAGCAGCGGTCGCAGCGTCGGCGCGCTGGCGCAGATGATGGCGAGGTCGCACTCGAGGATCGTCATGACGAAGAAGGCCAGCGCTGCCGTGGCGCCGACGAGGTCGGGGCGCCAGTCCTCCCTGACGCTGAGCATCAGCCTCACGACGCCGGCGGCGACGACGAAGATGCCGAGGTTCAGCACGATAGACAGGACGACCTTTTGCTTGGAGGGGATGTCGAGACCCGAGATGCACGGCAGGATGAGGAGCAGGAGCCAGACGTCCGTCACGGCGTGGAACGTCGCCGAGGCGATGAGTAGGTTCTGGAAGCCGAAGCAGGCCATGGGCCGCCCGAAAAAGTGGCCCGGCGATGGGTGGCATTGCAGCACGCTCATGAGCAGCATGGGCACGCCGTACAGCAGGACGAAGAGGATGGTGCACCAGACGAGTCGCCTCTCTTTTGCCCGCGAGGCAAAGACGCGGAGGTAGAACGTCAGGATCGAGAGTTTGGTCAGACACAGCGTGATCTGGTAGAAAAGAAGGCCGAGATACGTGCGCAATATGTACGGGTGCACGCCCCAGTTCTTCCCGAGGCCCTCCTGTAGGGCGGGTTCATCGGCGTGCAGGACGTCTGGTGTCTGGGCGGCGATGCTGTAGACGACACAGACGCCCGTGGAAGCGAGGAAAGAGAAGACGATGAGAGTATCGTCGACGAACCACTTGCGGAGGACGAGCAAGCGGGCGGCCAGTCGCGCGAGGATGAAAAGGGTGCAGATGCCGTGTGGGATGACCAGGCCAAGGAGGGCATTGGGAAAGCCCGTGTCCGGCATGGATGTCGCATTTGTTTCACCAGCCATGGTGATGAGTCGTGAGGTTGTACGCCTTTCTATGTGTGCCCTTTGCTCGTGTCGTGACCTCTTATCGCGAATGAGCCATGGGCTTCACATGGTTTCAGCAAGGTCCAGAGAATGCACAGCAAAAAGCTCTTGGAGCCAAGTCCCCCCCGGACGTCGACATGTATACATACTCCTCGCATGCCATCCAACCCACCAGCACTTGGTGGGGAGGGAAACCCAAACACATCGCCCCCCAGGTTTTCCTCCATCCGTCCACGTCCATCCCGCCTCTCATCCCGCCCCTCCATCAATGCCTTCACCAGCTCGCAGCCTAAAATCCCAATTGGCCCCCCAACCCACGGTTGAGATACCCCTGCACGGTACCACGGAAGCCCCCTCCCGACGTCTTCCCCTCCGGGAATAGCCCCCCTGCCACTCTCCATCGCCAGAAGCAGCATTCTTCCATCATGGTGGTCGTCGAGGCTAGTGCCACTCCACACGAAAGACGCTCCCTCTGCCTTTTCCCCACTAGACAATATCTCTTCTCCAAGCCAGAGGTCCCACGCCATCACCAGACCTCGCTCGCTTCCTCCCCCAGATCGACACGGCACTGCACCCCGCGATGCGGACAAGCGAGAAGGGTTAACAGACGCACGGAGGCTGGCGAGGCGCGCGCTGCCCCTCCCAGGACAAAGGCATCGAGGCGGTGACAGGCTTCTCTCTCTCTCTCCTCTGCCTCGGAAGGACGTCCGCACACGTCAAAATCCGGGCAGGCCACTGCCGGTATGGTCTTTGCATAACGCCCCCCCTTTCACAAAAATTCGCTCAGCCGACTCGTTCACACACTCCCCCGCGCCGCGCGCGTCTGTCTTTTGCAACCCGCATCGGCGGGAAGCGAAACCTTGTGTCGATAGACGTGGCGCCGTCACGCGGTTTCCGCTATGGACGGGGTGATCAATTGAGGGAAGGGGAGAGAAGCTGCTGTTGGTGGCGACGTGACTCTTTTGCGCAGGTCGGGCCGGGCGGCCGCGGGCGCTGGTGGATGCACGCGCTGTTGGTGGTCGAGGGGAGGATCTCTGGGGGCGGTCCCTTTTCTCTGGTAGCGAGCTCCTTTGCGTATTTGAATGCTGACCACCTCGCCCGGATTGTCATTGATTTAGCCTGAGACTGGAGTCGAGCTGCGCCTGCGCCTTGGTGCTTTGTCAGAGACGACTGAAGTCGACGATTGAGGGACGATGTCGAGCCCTTGCCAATGAACCTATTGCCAGTGGCCGAAGTTCGGTTTTCCCGAGCTGTTGGTTGTGGTCTCCTTGATTGCTGTCTCTCTGATTACTGTGCCTGTCGTTACTTGAATGCCATCTATGCAAGGGTCTCGTTCGAGGTTTCTGTCTGTGTCGAGCATTCGGATCACCAGACTATGCTGTGGACGCCAACAATGGTTCATTGTTTCATGGCGTTGGATATTCAATGGTCAACGCCCGAAAATGCATGTCATCGACCTGATGCGGTCCGGATCGCTGCTGGTCCGCTGCAAAGAGTCGTTACCCGCAAAGATCTATGCCAACGTGACCAGAAACCGCTTCTCAAAGGCACAAGGCACAATGGAGGGCGATGCCCTGGTTGACAACGTGGACATGTTATCGCAAATAGTAGGACAGAGCGCTGAAGCATGATCAAACTTAGACTACACTCATTCTTTCTAACATCGACGGCATCCGCTTTACCAAAGAGGTGAGAAGCTTTACATCATGGATAGATGCCGCGAGGCTGTCCTCCTCTATTCGCAACCATCGGGGCAGCTCTGACATTCGAGAGCCCAAGGCCCCCCTGGAACCAGTCACGTATCGGAGAAGCTGCAGTTTCTTTCCCCTTTGGAGACCCTGAAACATGAAGATCTCCGTCTGGCAACGCAGAAGACGAAAATAGCAAAATGGCTTCGAATCGATGACAGTGATGATCTAGGCACTACTGCGAGGGTGAAAAGCTACATACGGAGAAAAAGCAAGCAGAGAGGCTTTCATGACTGGAGACGCAAATCCGGTCGGCACCGCTTCATGCGAGGCATTGCAACGTGCAACATATTCGCGTGGAACCACCCGGCTCGACCGCTATCCACATCAACCTCTCCAGACGCAGTCCCTCCATCACATTGCTTGTGAGGGTCTGCATAGATCTCCCTTCAGCAACATCTCTGAGCCGTGTCCGGGCCCTCCCTGATGTAAGACGACGGGCAACGCCGAGGACCCCGGAACCACAGACATATTTCTTGGCGAGACGACTGGTCCCACCCCTGCTCAGCGATCAGCATCACAGCCAACGCATCTACCCCAAAGTTTGGAACCGAGCCTTTACACGAGACGCGCAACACTCAAGGCGGACTCGTTTTCTGGTTACCCCTGAAAGTATGTCCAAAAGGATGCCATCCTCATTGCAGCTCTTGACGGCACTACCCAGCCTTTTTTAACCCCTGATGATGGCATGACCATTTACCCACACCGACCATACAACCACAGAAGATGCAAAGTCTAGACCTTTCGCCTTACAAGCCCCCTCCAGAAGTCAAAGCTGTTTTCGTCGCTTTGCAAGGCCCACGTCCGCCCGGTCTCCCGTCCCGTAACCCCATCAACCTCGACGGCTTTCAACATGCCCCAATCCTTTGTGATGCCAACCACTTTGGCCCGGACACCCTCTTCCTCGAGCGTCACCAGTTGCCCGGAGTGTAGCCAGTGCTTATAGTAGCGGTTCTCCAGGTTCGAGTCAAATCCGTTGCGGATCCAATGAGAGTGCAACGATTCCAGCCGAGTGAGAACTCGCGCGAGGAGCTTCTCGAGCCGGAAAGGGGCAAGATTCGATGGAAGAAGAGCATTGAGAGATGTAGTGGGCCGAGCATTCGTCGCGTTGATGCCGATGCCTAACACGAGAGTGTACGCACCGCCCGTGTAGGAGCATGTAGACAATATTCCGCCAATCTTGACATAGGAAGGATTTGAAGCCGAGGATTTAGGATCGCGCGCGTCTGGATACGGTTAGTAACTGAGGGCAAACATATTCAGGGGCAGACGCACATATGTCATTGGGCCATTTGAGCTTGACAGGTACATCGTCGTAACCCAAGTCATACGATTTGATGGCCTCGACTATGGCAACAGCAGTAAGGTACTGGAGAAAGACGATTGGTCGGGACCCGAGGAGGTGCGCAGGGTGATTGATCACTGTCGAGAATACGAGGGTGCCGGCTGGACAAACCCAAACGTTGGAACCACGGCCGCGCGCTGCAACTTGCGTCGCGGCAGTCAGGGTGAAGCCAGTGGGTAGCTTTGACAAAAGTTTCGGGTTCCTGAAAAGTCAGTTTGGAGACATTTATCCGCGAATGGGGGTCACGCACTTGTCCATGATGGTGTTGGTGCTCGTCGTAGCATCTGCGTACATTAGAGTGTTGCCCCACTCAGACGCATGTTCCTCAATCTGCTGGTAGGCCTTGAGGCACCCGTAGTAGAAGCTATGCTGGAACGCAGGGGTAACCTCGTCTGAGGGCCAGGCGCGCTCGTGTGGCACGATCTCCTTGATGACGTCGCTATAGTCGATGTATCGTCCATCGGCGGAGAGTTTTCCCTTCGCGGGATCGTCCGGGTCGGGAAGGGACTCTGCGAGGGTTTTCATCGACCACTTGCCATCCCGATCGATATGGAATGTGTCGGCCTCGTCGCGGATGTACTCCTCGTTCCCTTCAAGTGTAATAACATCACCGAGAGCGTGGATCAGCTCCTCGACCTCCTTGTGGTTGACGGAGGTCAGGTGCATGGCTGTGAGTGACGGGATATCGGCATCTTCATCGTTGACTTCGAGTCCAAGCTTCCGGAGGCACGCCTTGATGAAAGCTGAGCGCGGCAAGTCGTCCTGTGTGAGAGTCTCTATGAGCTGATCGTATCGAGGGTTACTGGGGATGCGATGGAGGTTGGTGGCAGCAAACCTGACCGGGTCAGCATAGTACCACCCACACGGGATGGGAAAACAGCCTACTCGGGATGCGGTCCCGTGAGGACAACGCCGCCATCGCCAACCTTGCAATACACAACAGCCGCCTGGCCGTCGCCGCCTTTCACGTCAATATCACCGGTGTAGCTCGCCAACACCTCGACCCCCTTGTCCTTGAGCTTGGCAGCATCAACAAAGACACCCCCACCATTGTAATAGGACTTTGTCCTCTTCGGCGCACCCATGGCTTCGGTGAAGGCCCCTTCCTCGACGGAGATCTCGACCGCCTGTGCCCCATCTTCGGAGTGGTACCGAAACCCCGCAAAGGCACCGCCTCTGCACGTTCCGGGGAAGAACCCGAGCTCTCGCCTCCCAACGACCTCCATCCCCTTCTCGCTGCTGCCGACCTCGAACTCGCATCGCGAAGAGCCAAAATAGCCCCCGGCGCAGAAGCCCAGGAAACGTCCGCCTCGGCGCACAAAGTCAGTGATGCGGCGGTTCCCGGCGCCGTCGAGCACGCGACAGTAGCCGAGATCGCCTCCGCCAGGGAGCACGAGAAGTGCGCAGGTCTGAGCCCAAGGCTCCTTAAGGAGAGCAGACTCGGTCAGGGGCGTGACGGCGTAATTTGGGTGCAGCAGGCGGCGCAGTGTCATGAGCGCATGACGCACACACTCGGCGGTGGTGCCGGTACCTGAATGTGTGTCAGTGGGGCCAGGAGTGAAGGGGCACAACGGCGGGGCAAGCAGGGGGTGTGTAGACCTGTGTACACAAGCACATTGAGCTTGCGGGAGGACATCTTGAGCTGCCCGCGGCCGGTGCGGAGAGGACGTTGTGTGGTATGCTGGTGTGTCGCGAGGAGAAAGTGGTGTTGAAGCTCGTCTCAACAGAAATGAGTCTCAAGTGCGTTGCTGCGACACCGGGCAAGTGACCCCCGATAGTACCTGCCCGTGCGAGAAGAAACGCCGGCACCAGCGGATTGCGGGGCCTCTCACGTTGTCGCTGCCACGTTCAACCTCGACTCTACAACTCGCACAGCAGCTCACACGACATACCCGCAAACGATTCAGCAGTCACCATGTCCAAGCAAGAGAGCAATGCCGCCAAGAGCGCAGCCCCGGATGATGATGAACCTGATGAATGGTGGGTATGCCTCGGCTGGCGCTGATGCCGATGCTGACCGAGCTGCAGGGACAAGCGCATCTTCAGCACAGGCTGTGCGGGTGGGTTGTCTCGAGACCTTGGCGCGCCTCACCCGCTGACCGTAGCAGACGAGAACATGAAACTGACGGATTGCTATTTCGAGAAGAAGGATTGGAGGAAGTGTACAGAAGAGGTACGTTTTTCTTTGACTTGCCGGGAGAAGGCCGACGGTGGGCTGACACGAGTAGATGGCCACATTCAAGAAATGCTGGAAGCTGCAAGGCAACGACCAACGGACGAGCTCAAAGGATGCTTGAGGCGAGCGCAGAGGTCTCTGCAGAGTACGATTGTGTAGGATTGTGTACGATAGGATTACCGTGGAATTCGCCGCTCTCAAGGTTTCGAGATCATCATGTTCGAAGGATAACCATGTACAGTTTCAATACAGTCTGTGAACTGTCTCGAACACAGTACAGAAGGCCCAAGCTCCCAGTCCATTTTGACGACGAACGCGACAGACGTGAAGGCATCATCATCGCTACCACTTAGCCTCCCCCATTCGGTTTGTGGGCTGAACAACACTGCCCCGACACAACTACCGCCTTGCTCAACACGCAACCATGGCTTCAAGATCTCTTGCTCGCCCGCTTCTCCGCGCTGCGAAACGCACCCAAGCAGCCCGCTTCTCCACCTCACCGTCTCTCCTCGCCGCATCGCCATCACCCGCCCGCTACGTCTCCCAGGCGGCAAAACCAGCACCCGCACGGTCAGCAGCCGCCGCCGCCGCCAAAACACCCACATCCCCAGCAGCGCCTACCTCAACAGCACCTGCCACGCAGACCGCATCACCAGCACCAGCTCCCACCTCAGCACACCCACCACCGCCACCGCCGTCCTCCATCCCCACCATCGACTGGTCGACCTCGTACCACGGCCTCTCGACGACGGCCTTCACCCCCGAAGTCGCCGCCCACCTCACGACGCCCATAAGCCCCGCCGACATCGAAGTCAAGCCCGACGGCATCATCTACCTCCCCGAGATCAAGTACCGGCGCATCCTCAACGCGGCCCTCGGCCCCGCGGGCTGGGGCCTCGTGCCGCGCGGGCCCCCCGTCGTCGCCGACCGCACCGTCACGCGCGAGTACGCCCTCGTGGCGCAGGGCCGCTTCATCGCCCAGGCCCAGGGCGAGAACCAGTTCTTCGCGGCCGAGGCCCTGCCGGCCGCCGTCGAGGGGTGCAAGAGCAACGCGCTGATGCGCTGCTGCAAGGACATTGGCGTCGCGTCCGAGCTGTGGGATCCCGTCTTCATCCGCGCCTTCCAGAAGCAGCATGCCGAGCAGGTCTGGGTCGAGCATGTCGTGACGAAGAAGAAGAAGCAGCTCTGGGTGAAGAAGGGGTTGAGCGTCGGGTACCCGTACAAGAAGACCTAAAGACGGATTGCCTTTGGGGGGGGGGGATGGCTGCGGGGTCATAGAGTTGGGTAGAGATGGCCGGGAATGTAATATAGATGTAGAACCACTCTAGAACATGGGACGTGGCGACCACTGTACCATATCTACAATCAACAAGCATGGAATAGGATACCCTGTAGACTCCCTTCTAGGATCTATCGTTCCAGAGACTGTCAAGTTGACCCTTCAAAGTCATAAACCCGAACGCCGGAATAAAAGAATGTGCAAAAGGAGACCACCGTCGGTCAGTTTGACCTAGCGATCGCGGTCATAGCCCGAGCTCCGTCCGTGGTCGTCCCGTCCGTACTGCAAATCCCTCTCGTCCCGCTCCTTGGCCGCCGACCAGCCCCAGGGCATCCACGACCCCGTGCTTCCCGTGCCGCTCTGTCCGCCCTGCACGCCAGGTCCGGGCCTTACGCGCCCCTCGTCCTCGCCACCGCTCTCGGCATCGATGGTCTCAAACTCAGACTCGCTCCGGTTGCGGCTCCACTCGCCAAACCCGTGGCTCCCACTTCCGCCGCCGCCGCTGTGCCGGCTCCCCCTGCTCACGGGCCTCTCGCGCGCGTAGCCCTCGCCGTCGAGGCTGATGCTGCCGGGGCGTAGGTAATCCTCTGCGTTGCGCGCGCGCAGCGTCTCCTCACGCTGCAGCGTCTGGGCCTCGCGGTCGAGCCCGTCGAGGACGACGTTGAGGCGCTCGCGCTGGGCGGCGATGAAGGACATCTTCTCTGTCGCGCCCGTCAGGTTGGAGGGGATCAGACCGCCCCAGCCGCCGCCGCCACCACCACGGTGTGCGTCTGCGCCGGACCCAGCACCAGAACCGGAGCCGGGGCTCGTGGCCGATCGGGTGGCGGCAGAGACGGCGCCAGCGAGGAGGCTGTAAAAGTCGCCGCCGGTGCTGCCGGAGGAGGAGGAGGGCTGCGGCGGCGGCGCCCAGCGGGCGTTCGGGACGCTAAACCGGGCGAGGAGAGACTGGGTGTAGGACTGCGGGGCGTAGGAGGCGGCACGCGGGGACTCGGGCTCGGGGGGGCTTGGGGGCAGGCCAAACACGTTGGTCTTGATGAACTCAATGGCTTGCTTGATATAGGAAATGCCGGCGGCCTTGGCGCGATCGTGGAGGTCGGCGATAAAGGCCTCGATCTGGGTCTCGTTGTCTTCGAGGAACGGGTGGACGTACGTCTCGTACAGCAGGCGGGCACCCTGGGTCTGGGGCAGGACGAGGTAGAGGAGGAAGAAGAGGCGCAGGTAGGCGTAGAAGGGGATCCAGCCGAGGAACCACTCTGTCCAGGATTCAACGAGGAGGACGCAGGCGAGGACGACCCAGTACATCAGCCATGGTGTGAGCTGGGCAGGGTCGGAGGTCTTGAGGGCCTTGTAGGAAGCGAAGAGAGGGAAGAGGAAGGAGGCGACGGAGCTGTGAGGCTGGTCAGGATCTTCGTCGTTCTCGCACAAGTGTCGTGCGTCATCGCTGCGGGGGAAAGGAAGTCACTGACGAGAGGAGGTGCGCAAAAATGTCAAACATGATGGCCGTCTATGTTTTGCGCAGAACAGGCAGCGCGGATATCTGATTGTGGTTGGTCGTCGGGATGTGTTCGATCGGAGGAGGTTGGTCGCAGGTGGAGGGGGGTAGCTTCGCTATGTGAGGATTCGTTCGTTTACTGTACTGATGATGGAATTGGAGGATGTACGGCAGTAGGAGAAGGGGAAAAGGGCGGTGTCTCTCTGCTCGCTCGGTCGCAGGCCAAGGAGTCGGCAAGTCATGAACCAGCCGGGCGCATCGGTAGCCGTCACTAGGTGGTCCAAGGTTGGGGTCGAGCGAAAGGTGCCCCCCTCGGTGCGAGGAGCGAGAGCCTCGAAAGATCCGGGTCAGGCTGGTCTGGTGGGGAGCTGGCCAGTCAGCCCTGTGTGTCCTGGCACTGTCAGCTTTGGGTGGTCGAGGTGGGGTTTTGGCGTGGGCACGCGGGCGAGGCAGGTGAAGGCTGAAGGCTAAGGTGAAGCTGCTGTTTGCGGGCGAGGGGCGCTAACGACGCAGGGACTACTACGTCATGGGGTGTCTGTCTGCCTTTGCCTGGAGATGGGAAGAACGCCGTTTTGACAACCACGTTCATACGCACCATGCGTGTTTTATGGCTTTTGCAGAGGACACATCGACTCCTATATTTGATATGAAACCACGCTGTCTTTTCCTTGAGGGTTATTCCTCCCGGTTATTTGTCGTCGTTTTCAATAGTCGACCGGCACTCTGTCTTCATGATCCGCTACGCCACCCCAAGTCACACGCGCCCACCCAGCCAGCAAGCACGACCTCGATGCGTTCCAAGAGAATCTCGCCAGGCTTACTGCAGAATCTTTGACTTGAGATAGCCTTAGAATGAAAATGAAACGCTACTGACAAGACTCACAGAGAGAAAGGCTGATGCGGATACAACCTCACAAGCGAGATTTTCCCATGTCGAGTCGCCTGTCGGGGCTGGGCTGGAACTGCTGCAAGAAAGCCAAAGAGATCTGGAAGGCTGAGCCATGCAGGAGCTTGCTGCAACAGTGTCGAGCAGTTGAAATGAGGCTTTGTATACTTCGAATATGAGCCAAGAGTGAACACTCGGTTGGCTGCGGGCCTCGTCGGGTTGGCCAGCGCAGCCATCCAACACTTCAAATTCCTTCCGTTCAGACCAACTGCAGATGGGCTCATGGATCACGCGCTGAGATGAATACAATGTAGGCCTCCCAACTTTGTCCGCCTTGAGTTCAAGCACTCGAGTCACCTCATGGTTGGATTCTGCTGCATTGCCCCAACGGCCAACAATGCAGCCACTAGGCTATTATCAACGACATGACGCTCTCCCAGCGCTTAAATGGAGGAAAGGAATTGCCCTGGAATATATTGTTCGTAATGCCTTCTTTTTGGGGCTTACAACAATCGCAACATATATATGGTAGGTCGCAAGACATGTGTAATAGTAGCGAAAATTCAAAGTGCACATTGACTTCACTATTCATACCCCACTCCTTCGACTTTCTCAAGAAGAGCATCTTGCACCATCGCCATGACCGACTGCGAAGTGTGTGGACGTGGATTCTGCAATTCCGACCGTCTCAAGCAGCACGTCACCGATTCTATCCCTCACTCTCCGGATCACTTGGCACTATGCTGTCTTCGCTGCACCAGCAAAACCTTCACGACAAAACTCGCAAGACAGCAGCATCTCCTCAGCTCGCCCAAGCATCGCGTCTGCAAGCTCTGTCCCGAACACTGGGACTTTGAAACCAAAAAGCAACTGAAACACCACTTCAAGCTTGAACATCCCGGCCAATCGGTAGGCAACGCGCAACTGGAAGCCAATGGCCTCATCGAGGTGACGGACTTCCGAACACCCCGGGACGCCACGAACGAGGCAACCAGGGGCACGCCTCCTGAGCCGCATGTCCAGGGGCACCTCGAGAGTGAAAGTGCAGCTATGACCCCGCTGGACCGGTTCTTCCTGTCCTACGCGGCCTTCCGCTATGACGCGACTCTGCCGCCTACCGCGTCCTTTGAAGCCCTCATCCGACACTGTCGCTGGAAGAGGGGGACTGACGAGCTCAGAGATGCGCGGGCCGAGTACCAGCGAGCCCTTCGTCAGGAAGTGGACGTCTGGTTCGGTCGGGAAGATGACATTGGTGCCTGGCACACGCTGTGCCGGGCCGTGGGAATCCGCAGACCTCCTCCCACCATCGAAGAGTGCACGCAGGTACGTACACCGCCGAAATCTAGGTTCTGAAGAAAGCTGAAAGTGCTAACGCGAACGATAAAGATTCTCCGGAATACCCATGTCAACATTGTCGACCTCATCGAGTGGGGTCGCAACCGCGCCGTGGGCTCGGTCCAGGTCTTCCAGACACGGGATGATCTGGTCGAGTATTCGCGGGAGCACGCCAAGATCTTCCCCGTCAAAGAGGTTCAGGCCAACGGCGAGACCAATGTTGTCCTCCGACATCTGCTTCGACGGTTCAGGACGCGGCATTCTGGGGTTGCAAGGGCCCAATTGTGAGGCGGTCGTCAAAAGGAGGGGAAAGGGGAGGCTACTGGACAACTAGCTGGCCACGTCGATCTTTCGTGATCAGGGCGGCGAGAATGGGAGCGATTGGTGCCTCTGGACGAGCAACAGCCCAATAAAAAAGCTTTGACCGCCTCGCGCTCCCCCGATCGAGCCTCATGCTGCCTTCCTTGATGCCCATCGTTGTTGCCTGCCCTGCGCGAATGTGCCGTTGTACCTTAAGCTTCGTCTTAGTCATCGAGGGAGCGTCATCAACCCCGCGCCACCCCCCTTCCGGCGAGCGGCAGCTTGGAACAAGCTCTTCCAGCGTCCCAGAGAGAGCTCCTGAGCTTCTCAGTATCATTCCAACATGGGCGGCGCAAGTATCTCGTCCTCATCCCAAAAGCAGAGGCCAATGGTCATTGACAGCAGCAGTTCCAAGCACGGCATGGACAAGTACAAATTCCCATCCGATCCGGTTGCTCATAAGGCATCCACGATCACCGGGTCCAATTATCGCTTCACTGTCATCAAGCCTTCAGTTCTCAGGTACGAATGGTCTCCCGACGGAACCTTTGAAGACCGTGCCTCTACCTTTGCCATCAATCGCAAATTTGACAAGCCCGACTACTCCGTCAAGGAAACGGAAGACCAGCTCGAGATTGTCACGCCATCTCTGCATCTGAGCTATGACAAGAAACGCTTCTCACCCAACGGCTTTCTTGTCACGTTCATCAACAAGGCCACTCTTTGGGGGTCGGAATGGCGCTATGGCGGGGAACATGACGGAGGCAACCTGGGCGGCACAGCCCGCACGCTCGACGGCGTCAACGGCCGCTGTGACATGGGCAATGGCATACTCTCCCGCTCCGGTTTTGCCAACCTGGATGACAGCGAGTCGATGCTTTTTGACGGCGAAGGATTCGTCGCACCACGCAAGTCTGGAGATCGCATCGACGGCTATCTCTTCAGCTACGGCCAGGACTACAAGAGTGCCATGCGCGACTACCACGACATCTCGGGCAAACAACCCCTTGTTCCGCGCTGGGCGCTCGGCAACTGGTGGAGCCGATACCACGCTTACAATGACCAAGAGTATCTCGATCTCATGAACAAATTCGAGGACCAGAAGATCCCGCTGTCTACCGCCGTCATTGACATGGACTGGCACCTCGTTCACGAAGAACAAGTTACGCACACTGGCTGGACAGGCTACACGTGGAATAAAAGCCTGTTCCCTGACCATGTGGCTTTCTGCAAGGATCTCCACGAACGCCACCTCAAGATCACCCTGAACGACCACCCGCATGCTGGTGTCCACCATTTTGAGGACTTGTATGAAAAGGTAGCCAAAGCCATGGGCTACGACACATCCGACAATGCCCCGATTCTTTTTACACCAACCGACCCCAACTTTATGCATGCCTTTTTGAACGTCCTCCACCGGAGCCTCGAAGAGGATGGCTGCGACTTTTGGTGGATCGATTGGCAGCAGGGGCCCTACTCCCGGATACCTGGCCTTGACCCCCTGTGGCTGCTGAATCACTTCCAGTACCTTGACGACTCCATCCAACGCAACGGATCGGGTGCCATCATTTTCTCCCGCTACGGTGGTCCAGGCAGCCACAGGTATCCCGTTGGATTTTCTGGAGACAGCATTTCGACCTGGGAGTCCCTTGCCTTCCAGCCTGAATTCACAGCCACAGCCTCCAATGTTGGCTACGGCTGGTGGAGCCACGATATCGGCGGCCATGTCGCTGGCTCTCGCGACGATGAGCTGGCCACACGCTGGACTCAGTATGGAGTTTTCTCGCCCATAATGAGGCTCCACTCATCTAACAGTGAGTGGATGGGCAAAGAGCCCTGGGGGTATCGCGAAGAGTATGCGGCGATCCTCCGACACTTTATGCGACTCAGACACCGCCTCGTACCCTACATATACACAATGAACGTCAATGCCGCAGCGTCTGACGAGCCGTTGGTTCAGCCGCTATACTGGAGCCACCCCGGTCGGGGAATTGCATATGACCTGCGGAATCAATATACCTTTGGCTCAAACTTGGTCGTTAGACCAGTCACAGGCCGCAGAGATACCCGCACCAACCTCGCTTCAGAGAAGGTCTGGGTACCGCCCGGCCGCCACGTTGACATTTTCAACGGCTACGTGTACGACGGCGACCGTGAAATCAACATGTACAGGCCCCTCCAGTCGTTCCCTGCCCTTGCCCGCGAAGGTGCCATTATCCCTCTGGATAAGGCGCTCGAGCCGAAGAACGGCTGCTTCAACCCCGCGGGCTATGAGGTCCTTGTTGTCGTCGGTCAGGACGGCGAGTTCACCATTATCGAGGATCCCAAGGACGACAGCGCCGAGTCTAGCAAGTCGACAGAGGCAACGGAGGAGCGCCACATCAAAATTGGGTGGGACCAAAAGCGCGGCCATCTCAAGACAACCTCCAAGGGCAAACAGTGGAAGTTCAACTTTCTCTCTGTGCGAACCATCTCGCCGACCCTCTCGGTCCTCGTCGACGGCCTGGAGACGCCCGACGTGGTTGTCACGACGCAAACCCACGCCGCATCCTCGCACACGCCGTACAGCATGACTGTTGAGTTGCCGAAGCTGCCGAACGCGGACTGTACTATCGTGGTGGACCTCGGCGCTGATCCGCAGCTGGGCGTAATTGACCGCAACAATCAGATTCACGCGATGCTCCAGGATGCGCAGATTGACTATGGAACGAAGGATCGGATCTGGTCCATTGTCAGGTCGTCTGAGCCGGCGTCGACGAAGGTTGGGAAACTTATGACGTTGAATCTCGAAGGGAATGTGATGGGACCAGTGCTGGAAATACTGTTCGCGGATAGTCGAGAGGCCTGATTGGGGTGGGCTTGTGTGATATGTATTGTTTGAGATTCTTGAATGCTTCGTATAAGGAAGGCAGAACATGAAAGTACTGTAGCTGGCCCACGTCCCCTCTAGTCTGGTAATCATTCCTGTCATGCGGTATTGTATAGTTTGGTCTCTTTTCGGTGCCGGAATGAGCAGGTCGAAGAGGCCTCATGCAGATGATATTCGCAATCAATGGTTAGGTGGGGGGTAGGAATACATCTCAATTCCGGCCTTCTGCAGCCTTTGAACTCACTTCAATGCTACGACTATCAAAAGGGCTCTAGTTGGGTCTAGATGAGGAAGTCGATACTTATACCAAGCAAACACACCGTTGGGACCCTCAAGCAAAGCTCGAACTCATAGATTAGATAGCTATGCCCCCCCAATATCAACGACTGTCAGATGGCGCCTGTGGAGCCACGGAGCATATGGGCTTGTTAGGGGCTAAGAACTACGAGTATGTGGGGTAAGGACTGCGGAGGGCCAGAATTCGGATGTATCGCAGCCCTATACCTATTCTATTACCTCCGGACTAAGTACAGGAGCCCTATTCACTCTGCCCAATCCACATTCTCACAGAGACCGTTATGAATTACACCTTTGGAAATGAAAACCAAGATCAAGATTGGATGAGCCACTACAGACTGTCCTATAACTTTATACAGAGCATGATCGCAAAGATTGCTGGCTTAGGCGTACTCTATATCAACTTGCGACCCGTCCCCCTCCCTATTCCACATTCCCCATTCCATTGAAGATGAAACATGTCAATCTTATTTTACTTTGATGCAGTCATCATTACAAAGTCGACCATACGCTGTGCCCAGATGTCATGCTATTAGTTCCGGTTGCTTAGTACTTTGATTAGCACAGAAGCTTTGCATACACTCATGAGACATCCAGGCTCTTCACGAAAAGCTGCCAGTCCTCCCGCCCCAAGAACTTCACTAGCTGGAAGCTTACGTGGACCCCGAATTCTTCGTTGCGAGCTTCCGGCGCCAAAGCTAATACAGGCCACATCTTGGTGCCGTGAAACTCGACTTCAATGTCAGGCTCGTCCACCGAAACGCCCTCGCCGCTAAGTCCGAATCTCTTCATCCAATAGTCAACACGTTGTTGATCTGAACACCATTCTTGGAACTCTTGCCAGCTGAGGACCGCACACACATGCTCCATTGCCAGTGTGGGCGAACGAGGATACCTCTTACCATAAATAATCAAGAAACCATTTGATCCAACACGAGAGAGGTAAATGATCCCCTCAATTTCAACAAAGCGATATTCAAAGATGGATTGAATTTTCATTGGTAAAGGCTCTACTGCAAGCGAGGGACCGAAGGTGATGTTCCCGGTGGGGGTTTCTATCAGTTGTGGTGATGATATGAAAGTTGGGAAGGCCGGTAATATTTCGATGTGAGCCACCGATGAAGGCGGAGTTGTCCAACCGTTTCGGTTTCTAAGCAACACATCAAAGGGGTCGCAGTCTGTGAGAACGATACGTTGAGAAACCGCGTCTTCGAGCGCAAACTCCAATGAAAGTTCTGCCCAGTGCGAAACTGCATGAGGATTGTTAGCATGGAAAGATATGATTGTATTCAGACGTGTTCGACTTGCAGGTTGCAATGATTGAGGAGCTATCGTTGCACCATCTTTTCTCGACCAGTTTTGACTTGTCCGATGTGTTGATCAATGCCATAGCGGAAGACTCGAGCCGTACATACGTCTGACTCTGTAGACGTTTGACGAGAATTGCCAGTCGAGGTAGTGTTTGGCCGTGAATCTGGCAGTCAAGCACCGCCAGAAACAGTTTATCACGGCGGCGTCGATGTCTCGGAGTCAATCGTGAGCGCCCATGCGGATACTGAGGAATGAGCAAGACATCAACCTCAACACCAACAGGAACCTGGGCGATTTTGATCTCTCCTTGCCAACGGGGCTGATGAACTAGCACGTTCCCCTTCAAGCGGAAATCTGAGGGCGATTGTGCAAACACACCATCGTACCCAAGCCACGCGAGGATGGACTGGTCCGCGGGGTAGCGTCTCACAATCTCTCCTTGGAGACGTGCAAAAGCTTTGTCCCCCTCTCCATAGAGGAGGGGCATGTTGATGCCGAACAGACCTAAAAGGCAGTAAGCCGTGTCCTCTTGCCGGGTGGTGGCTCTGCGCGCGGCCCAGTGCATCCTCGCGCCTACACTGTGTTGCTGCATCATCGACAGTAGCGTCTTGGGATCGTTGCAATAACCGCAACGATACATCGTACCCGTCCTTCCAACTGGCGATCGGACATCAATGTTGTCTACCGGAGCGTGCTGGCGCTCTAGAATGGCGTTGTCGATGCCAGTGATTGCCACAATATGCTCAGAAATCTCAGTTCGAGTCCCTATCTCATTCCAGTCTTTGTCGAAAAAGGTTGCGCCATATGGTGCGATTAACTCCTGTAGCGTCCACCCACGACGAAACCATCTACTGTGCGATATGTTTACGACACCACCCTGGCGGCCTCTGTTGGAAACATCCTCCAAGTAGATGTAGCATGCTGCAGAGTCCTCGTACCACCTGAACATGGAGTTGATCGCTTCCGACAGCTCGGCGCTGCTGGATTTGTCGATACAGCATGTATCGACCCAGGCGTATTCTAATCCATCATTCTTTGCCCGCTGACACGTTTCGAGGATTTTGCTGAGACCCCGGCTCGGGGTGTCCTTTTGATGCTGCGTGATCCCGGCCTGCAAATGTTCAAAGAGAAACTCGTCGTCACCCCATGTGTGCGATAGAATGGCATACAACGGAGTGCCATAGCCATAGGCCGTCTTCAGCTCCAGCGTTGTGGTGTTGATCAACCTCATGGTGCAGGACGATAGTTGTGTCTCAGGTCGGTGGGCTCGGCAACAAGCCTTGCGGAGCTTTAGTGAAGCGAACGTAGTCGAGGATGGAAACTACTGCTTCTCTTCTGAATTGAAGCTTGGATCGCAAAGCTTGACTACAACAGCGGAGGAATTGTGAATTGACCTTGGTGATGTCCTGGTGTGATTGTAACAGACAGAGCTGAACAGGTGAGGTATCCTGACACGGCATGATCGACAAAAGCGGGGTAGGCGTTGGTAGGGTGGCCCGGTCTTATCTTCACAATGTGTACGGAGCAGTTGGTCTGGCTGGTTCTGAAGTGGCTGTGTCACATGTGGTCAGTACCCTTCTTCAGCTGGAGAGCTATGCAGTGATGCAATGTCTCTCACACAAGGCTTCGAAGACGAGTCCCTAGATATCTGTAGATGTCTCAAGTCCCTTCACACTAGCCCTGCGAAAGCCACCACGTTCGATACAGCCCAAACGCATGGCTTCTAGCCTGCGCGCCTCTTGAAGGTGTAGTTAAAGTTTATCCCAGAAGACAAATAAGCCGCCAAGCCACGTGAGCTCGCGCCCCGGCGGTCGGCACACACCGAGCCTCATCTCCCTGCTATTCCCGGGCGCCCAGTGCTCCAGAGTGGACCACGATGACTCCCCCTGGATTCTGACCAAGTGGGCTTGCTGCCATTAATAAAAACCTTTCCGGAATTTTTGCCTGGACCGATCATCCATGATAGGCCCACGCCATCTTGAGCACGCAGCAAACGTACATCGTCATTGAATCGTTGCGTTATGGCTGCTCCCGGAGGAAAGCAGTTGCAAGACTGCGTCACGACGCCGCCGAATGATGACACTGTCGTCGGTGCGGAGAAGGCGGTGGCGACGGACGAGGATCTCTCCTCCGGCCCGGGGACCTCCGGCGACGAGGCCGAGTTCCAGGAAGGCGGCTATGGTTGGTAGGTCAAGCTTTGCCCTGCATGTTACATCTCGTCCCGTAATCCTCCCGACTGACATGCACAGGGTTGTCGTCTGCTGCGTCTTCCTCATCAACGCTCATACATGGGGTCTCAATTCGGTATGAGCCTCCCCGGCCCGACGTGCCCCTCCATGGTGCTAACGCCAGCAGTCCTACGCCGTCTTTCTCGCCTACTATCTGAATTCCGGCGCCTTCGAGGGAACAAGCCCCATTACCTTTGCCTTTGTTGGCGGTCTATCCTTCTCCGTCGGTACGTCACCTCACTCACACCAGCAACAAATTTCACTAACGACCTCCGAGCTCTCCTCGTCTCGCCACTGACCACCCTCTCCATCCGCCGCTTCGGCACAAAGCCCACCCTCGGCGCCGGCGTCATCATCCAGTCCGCCGCCCTCATCGCCGCCTCTTTCAGCACCGAGGTCTGGCACCTCCTTCTCACGCAGGGTATTGCCTTCGGCATAGGCATGGGCCTCGCCTTCAACGCCACAGTCGGCGTCGTCCCGCAGTGGTTCCGTCGCCGTCGCTCCTTCGCCGCCGCCCTCTCGACCGGCGGCTCTGGCTTCGGCGGCCTCATCTACTCGCTCGCCACCAACGCCATGATTGACAACATTGGCCTCGCATGGGCCTTTCGCGTCCTGGCGCTGCTGTCGCTCGTCGTCAACGGCGGGTGCTGCCTGCTCGTCAAAGACAGAAACAAAGCCATTGGCACGGTACTGACGGCCTTTAACTGGCGGCTGCTGTGCAAGGTTGAATTTTGGCTCTTCGTCAGCTGGGGGTTCTTCTCGCTATTTGGCTACGTCATCGTCATCTTTTCGTTGCCAGACTATGGCCAGAGCGTGGGGTTCTCGGCGAGCCAGGGGTCTCTGGCCGCTGCCATCCTCAACTGTGAGTCTTGCGTCCCCCGCCTCTGGGCCTTTGTACAGCAGAAAACTAAATCAGTCGCAGTGGCGCAAGGTATTGGCCGCCCATTGATCGGACTGGCGAGCGACCGCTACGGACGCATCAACTTGTGCGGTATCAGCACGCTGCTGGCCGCGCTTTCGACGCTGTTCCTGTGGACGTTCACGGGCCAGCACTTTGCCGGCACGATCGTGTATTCCCTCTTCGGTGCCTTCGCCGGCAGCCTGTGGCCGACGGTAGCGCCCGTCGGTGCTGAGGTCGTCGGCATCCAGCTGCTGCCTTCAGGTATGCATCTCGGCAACACCAGTCTTGTCTTGATGCTCTCGCTGACATGATCAGTGCTCTCCGTCTTCTGGCTCGTCCTCGTCTTCCCCGCCACGTTCGCGCAGCCTATTGCGCTCGTCATCAAGCAGCCCGGGGCTGATGGCTACCTCGGTGTCCAGCTCCTGACCGGCTTCATGTACATCGTATCCTTCATCTCGAGTAGGTTCTCCCCAAAACCAAGCATACAGTACATACACGCTGACAGGCTCAGTTTGGCTGCTTCGCGTATGGAAGCTCCGCCAGCTAGAAAATGCGGACCTCTTGGCCGAAGCACAGAGGGCCGCAGAAGAGGACGCCGGCGACGTGACGCGGATCCCGACGCATCGTACATCGAGGACAAGCACAGGAAGGATGGTTCTTCGGGGATTCCTATCTCTGAGACACGTTTAGCGTGAGGTAGTGGACCAGTCTTTTCAAGAGCCGTCGTAATATCATTAGCATATAGATTAGCATACGCATACGAAGCGAACCGACTTGAGGCTAGACACATTGTCCCAAAGATGTGGTGATCTTCATCAATGACTAATCGATAGCATCATCCACGGTGTCAAGCTTGCTGGAGAAACATGCTACCTTGGGAGCGAGCTGCGCGCGACGAGACACCACGGGATGCCAACGTGGACCCTCCGTGCAGGCCTGAGACAAAACACCGCCATGTTTGCCGCCATCTGAGAACGACACAGCTCCACCAGACAACCACGCATCGACAACGCACTAATCCCCTCGAAAAGAGGGTCAGCTACCCGCCCTTTCCAATGCCTCGGAAGTCGACCCCTCAGGCTGTCAGCCTCCGGACGTCCGGCTCGAATGGCTCGGCGATGACCCAAGTCTCCATATGCCGCCCCGCAAAACTCAACCCTATCCTAACCCAAAATCAACGTCTGGGCATGCTAGTACCGGTGTTCTATGATGCCCAGAAATGTGAGCCGTGGAAGAAACCTCGGAGGCTGCGGCCTGACGATGGACGGACGGAAGCACAGGCGCATGCTTGGCGCATGGGCGAATTGGAAGCCGGTCGGCGAAGAGGACTTTTCCAGCCACGAATGATTTAGTGTATCTCGTGCCTTCTACTAGGCTTAAGCATTGGAAAGGCAAGCGAGGTCAAGTTGATACCGATAGCGCGTTATGGTACACCGTCTCAAACCGGACTCTGAGAACAAAACCACCACCTGGTGATAGGACGCTGCTTGCGTGAAAAGTATCGACGATTCGAATGGTCATCAAAGCTTGTGGTGGGCCTTCCCAATAGATCGGAGCATGCATGTTCTCCCTGCGAATCCATCTTTACATGGCAAATCAACAGATGTGCCCGAGGTCTCGACATACATCAGGATCAAAGTCTTTGTCGATCGCTCGTCAGTCGCGCGTCAGATGACTGTGTGGCAACTGCTGGTTTGTCTCAAATCTGTCATGATACTGTACATGCGCCTTTCAAGCGAGGGCCACTGGATAGATCGGCATGTCAGCGTCGCATGCTAAAATTGCTTGCTCAACGTGTTGGTCTCTTGGCGAAGCGGCCGCAGAACATGCTGGCCTCTCTGGCTGAATTGCTAGATTGATAATCTAGATGGGTGCCGTTGCGTCACTTGGCATTGGACTCCATGTGGCTTCTCCGCGGGTAGATGGGCGACTTTTCAACCCAAGATGGCCCTCGCCCGCGACTGCAGTCCGATGCTCTGTCCCATTGATGGCGGGTAGGAGTTGCGACTCAGTCACAGAAAGGCTGGACACCGTCAACAAGCCCCTTTTCAGCTCCACGAACGGTTCACCGGCAGCCTGGGACTTTCAGCTGTTGCCGAGCCTTGTGCTCCCTGTCAGTTCCACGGCCAACACTGACGAGAGATGGGAATCTAGGCTCACGGCGGGAGGAAGGAAGCCGCCCCCTGCGATTACCCGCTGCACGTTTATCCTCAACAACTACGTAATTTGAGCTTACTTCCCTTCGGCCGGTCTGGGATCGAAGTCTCGGCGCCGAGACACGGTTCGTGCAACGCGTACTGTGTCGCCGGTGCGGCGCGGCGATGGGGCGTGTGAGGTCTGGGGAGTGGAGACAGATAGGAGGGTACAGGGGAGAGGAGGGGCCGGAGCGGCGTTTTGACTAGGATCGGAAGGCGTCGTTGGCGTCGAACATCTGCGGTGTGTGACGTGACAGGCTGAGCGGCAGCGGTAGGATTGGGGGAAGGATGTCTTGGCTATTGCTTGGGTATACGTGAGCGGCTGTACGCCGGTGCTTGGTCCGGTGCTTGGTATCGTGGTTGTCTCGTTCTTGGGCTGTTCGATGGTATCGGGTGTAATGACAGTCGAAGCTGGTCAACCATCCAAACATCGTGAGAGGTGGACTTGGCCTGGCTGTAACTGGTAGCGTCGGACCTTTCGATCGATTTTTGTTCTTTTGGGGGACAACATGATTGAATAGCGGTGTTGAGCTGATGCTTGCTGTATGGTCCGATGTGTTGTGATCTCGGGCCAATCCTCCACGATCGTTCACGCATGGATTTATTTGGTGGTGCAGTGTAAGACCATGGTGGTGGATCGCCTCGTTCTCAGCGTCATGTTTTGATGGTTGACGCTAGGCATTAGACGATCAATCTCCGCCCCAACAACGATGTGCGACGATGTCCGTAACGAGGCCGTATCCGAGGTTGGGAGGCGGGCGACGATGCTAACGCCAACTGAAGATGAACAACGACAGGGTGAACTCGGCACCGACTGCTTTGAAATGGGATATCCGCCTCTGGAGGAACGATGGGCCGCTGAATCCCCGAGGGCCAGCGCTCTATTCAGTGGGTAACGCCCCTCCCCCAGAGCGATGGGGAAGCCCTAGAGCAGAGGCCCACCCGCTATGACACGGGGAAGGTGCAGTGGGGGATGGCTTACCATAGCGAGCGGAAGGCATCGCTCAGTTCCCTCCTACCTTTCTGGATCCTGCGGTAGGCAGTCGCCGCACCAACGGATCTCATCTCGCTTCGTAAGAGACAAAGGATGTCCACTCGTCCGGCGAACTGTCAGAAAGTCTCGGTTCTCCGTCTTGATAGATGGATCTAACGCTGGTAGCTCCGCTTCCGTTGATGGTACGGCGACTACCCATCTTCAACACGATGGGTCATGACACGCAAGCAGCGAGGAATAAAGACATTGGCATGCGGGGGAAGGCGAAGCGCACAAGTTGCGACGCGGGGAAGGAACAACGGACCAGCGACGAATGATGGGGTCAACGGGGGAAGGAAACATGGAGGACTCACCACACAGTACGAATTCGATCTGCTCCCTTCACGCAGCCCACTCATTCTTCCGCCGCCTCACGAATAAAAGGTCGCGATATGCCCGCCAAGTCTCATGCCCCTACGCACCCAAGCCTTTTCGCACCTTGGCGCAATACCAAAACCTGGCAACTGCACCGGCAGAGCAATGGAGCATGAGCAGCGCCATGGGAAAAGGAACATGGAGACGTGGATCCGCGTCCCTCTCTCTCGCCCCGGCGACCATGTACTCGAGCAGCAAAGGACCAACGGCCAACAACGAACCCATACCCTTGGGGAAAGAACCATGGATGATCTCGCATGGGCGGGATCCATCAACGAGACGTCGACGGTGGGACCCTGCCTCCTTGGTCTTCTTGGAGGTCTGAATTCTTGGTTGCTTGGGTGCCTTGTGCCCCTGGGTGCCGCGCTGGGTGATCGTCTCTCTGACTCTCCTCGACCCCTAGGATACCAAGACACGGCCCTCTTCTTCAAATACCATCGATATCCCACCCTCGCAGCTCCCGACTTCCTCCCGAGGCTTGACCTGCGCACTCCCAAGTCCAGATCACAGACAAGCCACTACGAAACAGATCAGACATGGCGACCACCGGAGGCAATGATATCAGCCATAGCCAGGGCAATGGCCTGAACCCCGATGTCAACGTCGGAACTGGCCAGGTTGATCTCATCGACGGCCATGGTGACAGCGCGGCGCCTCCTTACTCCCAGAATGACAACTTTGACCCGGAGAAGGCTCGTGCTGCGAAGGACTCAGACTCCTCTTCTGGAAAGGTCGAGGCTCTCGAGCGGGCGCCTGGAGCCGACTATGAGCCGGTTGACAAGATGACCGAGCGTGGCGTCCTGCGCAAGCTTGACTACCGCATCATCCCCATGGTCATGTGGGTGTATCTGATGAACATGATGGACCGAGGTATGGACTTCTCTCAGAATATCAAAGCGTTTCAAAGGAGCTAACAGGAAGAAATCTAGTCAACATCGGCAATGCGAGGTTGTTCAGAATGGAGGAGGACCTGGGTCTTGAGGGCTCAGAGTTCCAGCTGGCTGTCTCTGTTCTCTTTGTCACCTACTGTGTACGTGTTCCCTGTTCCTTTTGCCATCATCTTGATGGCCAAAGAGGACAATGACTGACAATGTTCCAGCTTTTCGAGACCCCTTCCAACATGATCATCAAGAAGCTGCAACCTGCTCGCTATCTTGCTGGTCTGACCATCGCCTGGGGCTTCATTGCCACCTTCAGCGCCTTCGTGCAGAACCTCGGCTCTCTCATCGCGTGTCGCCTTCTTCTCGGCCTCTTCGAGGCAGGCTTCTTCCCTGGCGTCGTTTTGTATCTCTCCATGTTCTATGGCCGCCGAAACCTGGCTCTGCGCATCGCCTACTTCTACTCCACTGCAGCTCTGTCTGGTGTTGCCGGTGGCCTGGTTGCATATGGCATCTCGTTCATTGACGGAGCCAAGGGTTGGTCAGCTTGGCGTTGGATTATCCTGATCAATGGTCTGCCTACCATTGTGACTGGTGTCATTATCCCGTTTGTTCTACCCAACAGCCCTGAGACGGCGAAATTCCTGACCGACGAGGATCGTGCCAATCTCGTCCGAATCCATGAGGCTCAGCTCGGACGCGCTCACAACCTTCGCAACATGGTCAAGTCCGATGTCATTGACGGCCTCAAGGACTGGACCACTTGGGCCTACTGCTTTGCCCTATTCCCCATGCTCACCATGCTCTACTCATTTGTCGTCTTCTTGCCGACCATCATCAACCTGATGGGTGAGTGGAGTGCCGCCGAGGTTCAAGCCATGACTGTTCCCGTGTACGCAGCAGGTGCCATCGTCTACCTGCTCAGTGCGCGTTACTCCGATGTCACCCAGAAGCGTGGCTACTTCGTCATGGGGGCCCTCTGCAGCTCCATCATTGGCTATGCTATGCTCATCTCTGGCCACAGCAACGCCGTATCATACGCCGGCTGCTTCTTTGTGTCCATGGGCCTCTTCACCTCGTCCGGCATCTCGTTTGCTTGGGTCCCCACCAACAACCCTCGTTACGGCAAGCGCGCCATCTCGACCGGTCTACACCTCACCATCGGTAACTCATCAGGCGTCGCATCTCCTTTTCTGTTTGTGTCTGATGACGCACCTCGATTCATTGCCGGGTACGCCGCCAGCATGGGCATGCTCGTCGTTTCCCTTGGCCTGAATATTGCGCTGCATCTTCACTTTAAGAGGCAGAACAGGTTGAGGGATGAAGGGAAGCAAGATCACCGCATGGACGGTCTCAGCCCTCTTGAGATCGAGGCACTCGGCGAGAAGAGCCCTAGGTTCCGTTTCGCGATTTAGGTGATCCATGCTCAGCACGCGGAGCCTGTCTGTCAGAGGCGTTTCCCAGTCATAAAGTCGGGAGACGAGCTTTTCAGGTAGAGAGTCCAAGTTAAGTATGTGCTTGGTTGAAAATGTGTATCTAGCAGACTAGATCGATATGATATCCTTTGTTGATCTTATTAATCATCTTTTTGAACGTAATCGATGGAGGAATGCGTCAGACGTTCTGACGTCTTGAAATCGTTGTGGAAAGGCATGGTTGAAGCTCAAACTGTGCCCAAAAGTTGGCAATGTTCCCGTCTCGTATCGGCAGCCTCGATTTATGACGTTGAATGCACCTGATCCACGGCGCCAACAGTGCAGTGTGTCTTAGTCATGGATAAAAAGGCCATCCCTTTGAATCCGAGAACGGTCTCAAATACTTTGAAGCCAAGAGCCGCCGGCTCGACCGCCTACTTCAAGGATCTTTATCCCATATAGAGCTATCAAGCAATATCAGACAACTTGCCCAGAAGCTGAATTCTGTCATTATATCTGGAGCACCCGGTTTTTAACGTATTATTATACCTGAGGTCGCTCTCGGGTTCAACGTGATGGTGATTCGATTGGCTTACTCGGCAGTGTGATCGGAACAACTGGGCGTTCTTGTCGAGGGAATTGTCGTCGTATGACTGGTTGCCGAAACGCAGGAGATCTCCATTAAGCTTTCTCCAGAAGGAGTGGCAGAGAGAAACACGATTCGGATTTAGCATGCTTATCATGAGGAAGACGGACGGTATTGGAAGGGATGTCATAAAGCAAGGAGGCTTTCGGAGCTTTGGTGCGAAGGTGTTAGGATTTTACAAGAAACATACAGTGAGGCGTTGCTCTACCTTGACTTCCATACCAGACCAAGTTACGACGACAGTCGTTGGGTGCCCCGTTCAGTAATATCAAAATAAGTGTCAAAATAGACGTAGGGCTACGCCCAACCGCGGGTGTCAACACATGGCCAGGTCTTGACTCCAAACATTCCAAGCACGTTAAGCATATGCACCGCTGTTGGCCGCAGTGCAGAACATGTAAACAAGGCAAAATGATCACAAAAAGCATCAGGAAAAACGGGCATCATGACTTGACAATTGAATAATCTTCGATCCATTGTCAGAGACCTGTATGTCTAACCTGGATCTCGATCTTCACCCGTAGTTCCAGGACTTCTTTCCAGTCATGCCAGCCGTGCAACTGTTAAGGCAGAACCCGCAATCTTTGGTATTTTCCTGCCCCAGCCTGAACCCTGAAACCATAAGAACCAATCCAAGCACTTTGAAGCGAGCCTTTCGCTGATAGCGTGTGTATCATTTCAAGCCTTTGAGGTCATACTGTTGCTCAATATTAGCTCAAGGTTGGCAAGCAGTAGAGAAGGTCAGCAAACTCGCCTGGTCACAAAACAAAGGATCGGCTTCTCATTCTTCGTGACTTTAGAGGAGCTTAGCATCCTCGGTTTCTTCGTCGCTGTTCTCCTCCTCGATATCGTCCTCCTTCTTGGCGACAAAAGTGCCAGCCTCGGAAAGACGGAACAGGGGAGGGGGAGCTTCATTCATGACATGAGCCCCACGACCGTGTCCATGACGGGGCACAGACATGGGAGTATGGAAAACAGTTCCCTGGGTCTTGATGCTGGAAGCGGGAGTATGGAACTCATCATCGCTCATCTCGGCAAGCTGGGCAGAAAGACTTGAAATTCTCTGCTCAAGCTGGTGATTCTTCCGAACCAGCTTGCCGTTGTGCTGGGTCAGATACTTGGCCAGTTTCTCGGTGACCTCGAGTTTCTTCTTGAGGTCACTGACGAGCTTGAGGGCTTCGTCGAGCTTCTTGGTCTTCTCGCGCATCTCCTTCTGGCTCTCCAGGTTCTCGATATGCTTCTCGAGCTCGACGCGGATGGCGCGATGAGTCTCCAGCTGGTTCTGCAGACGAGTGACGGTGACCATGGCCTTGTCGAGGAGGACCTTGCCGGCCTCGCAGGAGAGCTCGGAAGCAACGAGGAGCTCTTGCATGACGCGGCTTGACTCGCGAAGCTGGTTGATCTCGAGCTGGAAAGCCTGGAGCTCGCGGATGCGGTCGGGGTTGTAGTCGCGCATCTTGCTGTTGGTAATACTACTGAAGGTAGAGGAAAAGAAAATCGACAGAAGGTCTTGATGTCAGCGAAGCCGGGTTGCTTGATTGTTCTTTGGGCAAGCCTTTCTCGGGTGTTGTTGCGTGTGCGGAGGTAGGGTTGCCGAAAACCTCCCGGGTCCTGCCAGTTTTGGGTCCACCTCGGGGCCGGATCCGACGGGGCAGGTGCTTCTAACGCCGGGCTCCGGTCTCCACTCACACGTGGCAGCCTAGCAGCACCATGACCGCGAAGTTCCGTAGCTTTCCGTGGAGCAGGAGGGCTACTATGTATGGCCAATAAAGAGGGACTTTTGCTCGTGGTGTATGGTCATACCAAAGGCTGCTATTGTAGGTGTATGTTTCTTTCATTTTGGGTGGGGTAATGCACATCAGTGCATTGGTATCTGAAATTTGACCGGCTGGAAATAACAGGGTAGCACAGCTATGAACATCTCATTCGATGGTTGTTGAGGTGGGTGTGTAACACGATGAAGATGTCCTAGTCCATTAATACTCGCGTTCACTGGATGTAGGAAACATATTCATCTGTATCTGGTGGCTAGCCTGTTCTCCCAAGCGACGTTATCATTGTTCAAAAGTCTATTTTGTTCTGCGATCTATCTTTTGCTTTGTGCTGATGGCTAATGTCTGGCAGATCTTCGAGATTACTTCCAGAATTACAACTACATTTACATTTTTGCGTAATCTTCACGTAGTGTATCCTCGTAAATATGCTAGGTAAGCAGAGACTCATGCGAGGAAGTTCCAGATTTGCAACCAGGACTCCGAATGCGTCGGGCATAGCTTGAAGAACTGATTGATATTTGTTTCGGGGTCCTGGAGGATTAATATCTGGAATCGTTTGGATATTGAGCTAATTATTGGTGGCAACGATGAGGACCTAAGCAGTACGATCCGGCCCCGGAACAAGAAGGTCTGAGAAGAGAGGGAGCGGAACTCACTCATACAATTGAAAGCGATGTACATGAGCATTTAGACGTAAAAAAGATGCTTCAAAGCAGCGTATGGTTGCGTAAAGTGTTAGGAAGCTCACTTCATCGAAATCATGGATATCCAGAAGCGCTAGCCTACGGGATTTTGCCCGCATCTTGTCTCTAAAAGTACGAGTCCGCTGTCAAGTTAGGATAAGACCCCCTGGCCGTGTCATCATCGCGTGCTCGTATAACACTCCAGGCGAGTAACACCAGACGACTGCAAAGGTATCCCATCGACGAGTCGTCTGTATGCTGGTATTGCTGTCGACTGCTTTTGAACAACACTACAGCCTTATTTTCCTAGTTTCTACGATTAAATACACACAAGATATTGAAGTTTTGCACGCAAAGATGCCACCTATCGAGCTCCGATACGGCCTGAATGTTGGGGCTTGTAAGGTTGGGCTGTAGCATGACGTGGAATCGAGTAAGAAGTGCCAGGAGAGATGTCGGCTGTTGGACAGCCATGGGAGGTGGTGTCCTCCGTGAGAGCACCTTTGACTTCCATATTTGTGACGGGCCAAATCCACCAACAAAAAGCTCGTCAACGCGCCTCTCAACCCCTTGCGATGCTTCCACACATGCCGAAATCATAACATCATGCCTCCAGCGATGACAAGCCCAGCCATCACACCGACAGCTGCCACTTCTGCGCGGACACACGGCCCACCGTTTCTGATGAAGTCGTATCCTTCGAGGGCGTAGTTCTCGCTCTGGACTTCCGCCAATTTCTGGCCATCGGCTCCTACGAGCTGGGCGCTAAAATAATGCTCTTCGCCGGGCACGATCAGGTTGCCGTTGGAGATCAGGCCGTCGACGATACTTCGCGGGTTCCAGGTATATGACGTGGACGAGAGCGATAGATTGCTCCGGATTTCCCAGCCACCTGTGCCACCTCCACCACTAAACACCGCATAAAACCAGAGGTTGAATGCACGGGCTAGGGGCTCTGAAAATGATGAGTCGAGGGTCCAAGTGATCTCGACAGGCTGGGTGAGGTTGATCTTCTGGCTTGGGTCGGGGCCGGTGAATTCAAAGGCTTGAGCGGTGAGAAAGGTCCCCGAGACAAGGAGTGGGATGGTGGGGCGCATATTTATTTGCTTTGCGCGGCTGGTGAAATATACGTGGCGTCGAGACGTGGGAGCGGTGGCGCGAAGTCCGACAATATTGATCGGGAGAGATCGTGGAAGCTCGGTGCGAATAATTACTGCCTACGTCGGTCCCTATATAGGTACTAATAATAATTTGACATTCGCGGCCTTGACTCCCGTTCCTACGCGTCTCTGGCCCTGCGGCACAGTCGGTCTCCCCTATTGGTCAATACACGGCGGAATCTGGAAAGCGCCTTGGCATAGAGCGAAGCGAAGCTGTGCGAGGTGGTATCTCTAATTCTGGATGTCTTGCGTCCTACGTCACGGCTGTTGGTGGCAGCGGCCCTATGTCGCTCAAAATAGCAGGTAAATAAGCGGAATCAGGCACAGCAATCAACTCACGCCCACACCCGAGGCCACCAACATCGGCGGGGCCTTGCTTCTAGTTCTGCCGAACTCCGGCGTGTATCGGGCAATCACTCCTTCTTGAATTAATACCTAGAACCTCCTGTCCTCACTCATCAACGATGTGGTCTGGCGTCCTTGCCTATGGCCCTCATTCCTCTTCTGCTGCCAGCATCGAACCATAGGACATTGACGCCCAACTGATCTACACCTGTCGCATGACTCCTATTAGGGATCGAACTGCATAGGAAATATGAACGCCTGGTGCACCTGGGGCAAGATGTCATCCAGACTCGCTTGGCAAAACACCAAGTCCCGGCCAAGCGAAAAGCGTGGGCTTTCTGGCACAGCAGGAAAGGAACAAGCATCTCGTGAAACCCGCATCTATTGATCGCAAAGCGTAGCAATAGAGCAATGAGAGATTTTGAGACAGGATTGTGGGATTGCCGAACGAAGTTTGGCACGAGCTCAATTGCTGATGCAAGCAACACTGGCATCCCATACTGTCATGAAGCTAGGCTGTCACATCGTCCTAGTCCACGACCTCCGCTGTAAGCATTGCCACCATTTCTAATCCTGGTTCCTCATTTCATTCGTCCGTGTTGGATGCGAGGACGTTAGATGGCTGCCACCCCCACAAAGCACATTTCAAGCCTCGTGCATGGATCTCGGCGCCTGGCAGCCGTCACGAATCTGCCCCGGTGGGATGCAAAATGTTTCAGTCAGCCTAAGTTCAGCAGCCATGTTTGACTTTAAAGATTGTGCTTCTAGAAATCAACGGTATGGTACGCTGGGTCACGTTTGCTGGATATAGAGGAGAGACCCTCTTCAGAAAGTGAAAGAACCTACTGTCGAAGTGGTGTATCAGGCTAGGCTGCTATACCCTGATGTAGGATTGTTCACCAGGCTACACATACAAGCGGAGCCAACATGCAGAGTTTGCCAGATGGGGAACCCAAATCACAGAAGCGTACGGTGACTGGCTTCACACGATTGCCAGCACTTGTCTCTCAGGGCTAGCTTCATGATGGTCGTGGATGCCTACATGGGATAACATTACGCTTCTGCAGGCAAAGTGGCGACTTCGTGCACAAACGCTCTGCCATACAAAGCTCAGCCGCAGCTTAACATTGCCTTGGCAGCCAACAACCAACGGAGATGTTTGTGCATATGCGGGAGGCCCACCGATACATATGCTAGGGTCGTAGGCCACCTTCTTTTACGGCCATGTTTTATGAAGCTGGATTCTCGTCAAGTTCTATCCAGCAAAGGGCTCAACCACTTTGACACTTGTTGAATAATACTCAGGCTCTATCAGTCAATAAATCGCCGTCCGTACTTACCAATCACGTTTTTCCTATCACGTTTCCATCATGAGTGAGGCGTCTCAAGATAAGCCTGACGGTGAAGCTTCCTGCTCAGACAGCCGGGGTTGGAACCAAGCTTCCAGCATCATCGTGCCGTACTTGATCGAAAGAGTGCCCGAGTTCCATAGCCTGACCGATCTGCGGCACAGAGTTGGTCCTCCGCCGGTGCCAGGACGTCTAAGGTTTGATAGCGCTGACAAGCAATCAGGGGTGGAACAATCCTGAAGGCGACAGGTTTTTTCAACTTCAACGTCAGAGAGCAGATCAATCCGACGAGAAAACGACCAAGTACTTTTACCAATTAATGTTAAGGATCGGTCAGGAGATTCAGGCTGCTACTGGGGCTTTCAGAATTATCAATCCCTCCCCTCAACAGCCAGAGATTCTTGACATGTGCATGGCGCCTGGAGGCTTTCTGCAGACAGCACTGATCTTCAACCCGGGGTCCAAGGTTTTAGGCTTCAGTCTGCCAATGTCGGATGGGGGACACAAGGTCCTGCTTCCCCGTCGTGCCGATGTTGACTTGAGATTCCTTGATGTCACGATGCTCGCCGCCGATATGGGTTCCCCCGACATACCCGTTGACCACATCGACGCCAAGAAGTTCCTTCCTCGACAGATCGATACGAGTCGTGTATTCGATCTCGTTCTCTGCGACGGCCAAGTCCTCCGAACACACGATCGTGCTCCATATCGAGAGAAGAGAGAGGCTCGCAGGCTGACCACCGTGCAGCTTGCGCTGGGCCTAGAACATCTGAGATCGGGCGGGACCATGATCGTACTCCTCCACAAAGTCGAAGCTTGGGATACACTGTGCCTTGTTCGGCTGTTCACAAAGTTCGCCTCGATCAAATTGTTTAAGCCTACATCTGGCCACGGAAAACGTTCGTCCTTCTACATGGTAGCCAGCCGTGTGCAAAGCCAAGAGCCGGAGGCTCTTGCAGCAATCTCGAAATGGAAGAAGACCTGGAACACTGCTACCTTTGCCCCTGACGAGAAGTATTGGGAAGAAATCCGCCATGGAGAGGAGCCCGTCTCGGATGTGCTCGAAGATTTTGGGCCGGAGCTCATCAAGCTGGGAAGAGAGGTTTGGGCTGTGCAGGCTAAGGCACTTGCCAAGGCCTCATTCATCCATCAAGAGGAAAATCAGTGAAAGGTCTGGCAGCCTAAGACCAGAGTATTCCGCAGGTAATGAGATCTAAAAAAAAAGAAAGTCGGTATTCTTTTTGCACTTATTGTAAAATCCTTGAGTACGTTCGTCCTCACTTGTGTTGTGCCTTAAGATACTCTTCTTGCCATAGATTCTCAAGTACCAAGTCGTCTCAGCCGAACCGCAGTCTATTGTCAGGACCGTGCCATCAACATCAGAGAAGAATATCTTGATGGCGAGTTAGAGCAGCATGTTCACACCATAATATTGCGAGCTCTATCCACTGACAACTTGGGTAACAAATCGACGCGTTTACAGGTACCCTCCTGCCATGATTTTGTAGGCCATATCACCATCAGTCAACCAGTAACCTGCGCTCAATGATCGCTCGTCCACGTCGTGTGCTATCGGTAGTCTTAGTGGCGGCTTCGGAAAGTTTGTCAGGCTTCGGAACTGATTAGTAGCCTCCTCGCCATCCAGTGCCCTCCATATTGATTTCGATAATGTTTGATTGTCAGGCACTTCGAGAGGGTGGGGGTTGCTGCATGGCGTCACCGTACACGCGCGGTAAGTGCGAAAGGGCACCTCCACTCTCATGTCGCGCAGCTGTGCGTGCATGGCGCGATAGAAGTCGTCAATCATGGGCAGGGCCGGACCATCAATAATAATATCTTGCTGGCTGCCGACGAATATGGAAATGCAGAGACTTCGTAGTTGGTGACAATGTTGAGCAATGTTGTCGAGGACCGGCTTGACTTTATCGAAGTCATGTAGTAACATGTCATCTTCCTTGACTATCCACTCCGGTTCCAGCATTATCTCGAGCGATACAATAGATGCAAGGCGCTCCGAGGGCATAAGTTTGGGTAGGTGAAGAAGAAGCGGCTTGCTATGAATGCAGATCACGTTGGAGGAGTACAGGACATGTATAGCTTCAGTGTAGCTAGAGGCAGTCAGTGTGTATGCCATGGCCAGGCAGTTGATTGCTCAGACAGAAATACTTACGCTTGTCTGCATGACAGTAAGAATCCCATGATATCGATTTTCTCCTCGTCAAACGGTAGCTGCTTGCCTTCGTAGATCCGTGTCATGCACTGATCGTTCCAGAGCCCGGTCCAATTATAACGTAAGACGCGTCCGGTCTCTGGCAATCTCCAGTTTGGCCGATCACATACGGCGCCACTGTATTGCCATACCTTCTGCCGAGACTTTGACGTCTGACCAACTTTCATCAACTTTGGGGAGGGTAAGAGGTCAAATATGAGGTCCATGTGAAGGACTCGCCCGCCAAAGGCCGTCGTGAGAATCATGTGTCGACAATCATCAGGTACCTTGCTGAAGAAATGACATTGTGAAGGCTGCCTTTGGATTTTGACTCCGTTGGTATGGAGCGATTCGAATCCTGCGGGGGTGAGCGGTCTGCGCGGTGTTGGAAGGAACGGCGGCTTTTCTGCAGATTGCTTATTGGAATTCGTCCCTGTGCCAAGATGCTTTTTAATCCATGTGCTGAGCTTCGCCATGTCCAAAGGCCATGGACAGAGGCTGCCTGAGCAAGTCGCTGAGAGTCTATCGAGGCAAATAGGGAATATGGAGAACAGGGTACTTGCGCAAATGGATATGCGCACGTCAATAGCACCAAAGTCACATGCTGCACAGCCCCCCACTGTTCTTGGCGGTTCCTTTGAGACCACTGCGGCGGTCCGCGCTGATGGCGTCAAGCCAAAATGATCGCCCCAGTGGGCAGCCTTTCGCGAGACTAACGCCCCAGAGTGCCTTGATAGCGCCAGACCATGTCCAGGTACAGGTTTTTTTTAAAGCCGCCTGTTGGCTGGCATCCAACATCTTCACCACCCGCGCTCCGTTGTCCTAGCACCTTGGGTCGTTCACCTGGGAGCTCTAGCCGTCGTTGTTTTTGGCTGCAAGAAGTCTGCTCGCTCGATGACGAATCATTCTAAATTTTCTGGCTGCACAATCCGGGGTTTGTCGACGAGACGACACCATTCGCAGGCTGAATAGCTGTAGCCCTGAGCCAACGTTCCTACAACATCAGACCACTACGAGTACTTCTGCGTTCACACACGGCTGTCGTCCACCTCCCCTCACGCCACACATGCATGTGTATGATTCGTAAACAGATGCAGCAATGCGCACAACGATCCGAGTAAACAACACGACGTCGGCATACACCATCATTTCGCTCCATCCATTATGCCAAAGCAGAAGTCGCAATGGGTACTTCTTCCTCCTATCGTCGACGCAGACGACGGCGGCTGGATATCGTTGGGGTGACACGCATGAGCGGCAACATGTAAAACTGGGCCAGAACCTCAACGAGACGCTGCAAGGGTTCGCATGCGATGCCGTAAACGAGGGTTGGTGTGTCCGTAGGTTTCCCCCTTCCTACCGGCACTCAAGATTGCCATGTGCAGTCAGCGATATCAAGAAAACTGAGCTGATTCGGCTTTGGTCAACGATGGATCGAGGCTTGGGGAATGAATTGAGTGAAAGGACGGTGATACCCACGATGAAGCTTGGGTCGAAAAGATGAGACCCGCTGGCCCAAGGTAGGGATGGCGAGGGCTATGGTTGGTATCGGACTCATGATATCGATGCTCTTTTACTGCAATCCAGCTAGTAAGAAAAGCGTCGCCCAGAGAATGTGAGAAGTCGAAATCTGAAGAGCTTTCGTGATCTGGCCGCTTAACTAACAGGCGCATCTAAGCCGTGCTATCATGACCCGAAAGTACGAGCTCTCAGCTGTGCATTCCCTAGTACACCATCATCATGTCTATTGAATCCTATCAGCACGTAGAAAGCCGCAATGATTGAACCTTCGTTGAGTCGTGCCGCCAATGACCTCGGATTCGGTTATAAGGTGCGCAAAGGGTTTGCGGTTATTGCAGAAGCCCGCAACACAGCTGGTGGTCTTTCCGATTCCTGAACGTCGCCCTCAACGAACTCTCGCTCATAGACAAACTACCATGCCAAGGGAACTGATCAAGCTCTTGTCTCACGCCTCAATCATGCAGCTCATGTGAGAAAGAGTGCATGCATGAGCAAAAGCGCTCCACGTGCATCCCACGCTGATCAGCTCGCTTGCAATGGCCAGATGCTGGAGTGTCTGTCGCCCAATACCGCTACGTTCTTGTGCTCTCACATTACAACGTAGCTCACTCCGCCCGCAGGCGCGCTACGTGAGGCGCCCGGGCGATGAAGGACCCCGAAGAAGAAAGACGAAGGGTATGCAGGTCCGAAGGGAGGGGCACAATCCATCGAACAGAACTAGACCGGATATCAATAACTCATAGCACGTTTCATTGGCAACGTGCCATCTCAGAATGCGACATGCGTTGTGCATCATATATACTGAAGGTTGGCTGGAGCCAAGACGAATGCTGCAACTCAGGCGAGCGAGCCGAAAGCGAACCGACTCAAGTCTATCTGGACTCGGTACGTCCTGCTCAACTAAGATACCGTGTGGTATTATGAGTGGACCCGGGGGCTGTGATGGTATCGCGTGAACTGCCTGCTCGGCCCCTGAGCTAGGTAGACCCTTAAGGGCCGGCCGGAGCGAGCTGGAAGAAGGTGGATGCGTGGGCAGTCAAAAGGGTGAATGTAACTCCGAAAAGCCGTAGCTACCTTATCTAGTCCGGGTCGGGCCAAGATCTGCCACGAACGGTCGATGTCTGGGGATTCTTGGTGCGTGCGTCGTGCTAAGTAGGATGACAGGAATAAGCTTTGACTTCTGCGGCACGATGGACGCATTGGCACTGATAATCTCGCAAGTGACCTGGTGCTGTTGTGTCGCTTTCTGTATGTTGGGAGATTGCATGGTGTCCGAGACTGCCGCAACCCAGGACCTAGACCGATTGCCGCAAGATGCCGTATAACCCTAGTCTGTTGCATTGCCACCCCTTCTCCCACAGATTGACTTTATTAAGGTTCGCAGATACGGGTCGATGGCAGGTCACCAGAGATCAAACTTTCGCTCCAGGCCATTGCTGGTTGACGAACCCCATGCCGCACGGACAGCTTTCCGGGGTGTCATGTCGACACATTACATGGTAAGCAGGGAGACCACAGCGCATCCGCCTGGGCAAGAGCCGGCATGCCCCCGAGACCGTGTTGCAAGCATTTGAGCATATTAAGAGAAATCCAGCGATGAAGCCCAATCACAAGACTCACAAGCCTCGCACAACAAGATGAAGCGAGTCAGACCACATACGAAAGCCTTGAAAAGGACGTCGCACCACCGCATCTCGTAGTGGTTGCCAGAGCGTACGATCCTTTCCGTCCTCCAGCTTCACGTTCGAGTCCCAAGCAGGAGGGAATCAAAGAGGCAAATATGAGGTTCTCTCGGGCCCTTCTAGGCTTATGGGCCATAGCGGCGGCAGCTCAAACAGAGAAAAGCCCTCCGTCCCACCCACGGAGATACCGGAGAGACGATGTGCCTGAGCCCCAGCCCCAGCAGAGCGGGGATGGTCTTGTGGGCAACGGTCACTACATCGTCGAATTTGATGCTGTGAGTAAAAGGTCTTGTCTGGAGGCAAGAACTGTTCGTTGACGGCCCTTCAGAAAACCGACGTTTCGGCCGCGGTCGATGCCCTTGGCAAGGAAGACGGCATTGATGTCGTGAAGGTGTTTGACAATGGCCTTTTCCGAGGCTGTACCATCAAGGCACCGAAAAGCACGGTCGACTCGATCCAAGACAAGGCTGTTGTTGCCAAAGCCTGGCAGTCCCGCCGGATGACGTTTGGCGAGCCCCAGGTTCAGCGCCTGGGCGGCGAGCCGCAGCTTAGCAACTACTCCATCCACGACATGACAGGCGTCGATAAGCTCCACAAAGCCAACATCAAGGGCAAGGGCGCCATAGTCGGCGTCATTGATACCGGGATCAACTATCGGCACAAGGCGGTGAGTGACACGACGGAGAGAAGCGCACCAGTCGAACACTTGCTAATAGGGCGGCTCAGCTCGGCGGAGGCTTCGGCAAAGGCTTCAAAGTCGTCGGTGGTCATGATTTCGTAGGCCAGACCGGCTGGCCAAAGCCAGGCGAGGTCAAGATGCCAGACGAGGACCCCGACGACTTGGACGGCCACGGCACTCATGTTGCGGGTATCATCGCAGGACAGAGCGAATTCTTCACGGGTGTAGCGCCTGAAGCCTCTCTCTACGCGTACAAAGTCTTCACACCCGGCGAGAGCACCGACGACGAAACTCTGATCGAGTCCATGCTGAGAGCATACGACGACGGTGTAGACATCATCAGCATGTCGATTGGTGGCATGAACGGCTGGGCTGACAACCCCTGGGCTCTCGTGGCCAGCAGAATCGTGGAGCAAGGCGTCCTGGTCATTATTGCAGCGGGAAACAATGGCGGGCCGGGAGCTTTCGCCGCCGACAGTGGCAGCGCAGGCGTCAATGTGGTATCGGTCGCCTCCATTGAGCCAGATGTCATCCCCTTGCTCAATTTCAAATCGACGTTGACACTGCCCGGGCGTGCGTCTGAGGACAGGTGGATTCCCTACAGATCTTTTTTTGACTGGTATCCGGCGAAGGTCAAGGGCTGGCCCGTCTGGCCCGTCTCTCTCGATGCCCTCGAGGACGAGGCGTGCGCACCCTTGCCGGCCGATACGCCAGACCTGTCCGAGGTCGTTGTGCTTGTCCGGCGCGGCACCTGCACTTTTGCGGAAAAGCAGGCCTTTTTGAAGGAGCGCAACGCGACACACATAATTGTCTACAACAACGAGAGACCATTGGTTCAGCCTGGAGTACAGGAATCAGACCCCAACATGGCCATGATACCTGCCGAAGACGGCAAAGCCGTTATTGACGTTCTCAAGGCGGGTGGCAACGTTACGTTTGACTTTGACGTCCGTCCTGACCTGCACACCACGTCGATAGCCAACCCCAACCGCCCGCGCCTTGCAAGCACCTTCACGAGTGTCGGGCCAGCCAACGACCTGTCTCTGAAATCAGACATCTCAGCACCAGGAGGCGACATTCTGTCGACATATCTCGGCGACGGCTATGCCATCTTGGGCGGCACGTCCATGGCAACGCCGTACATTGCCGGCGTGGCGGCCCTGTACGTCGGCCAGTTTGGCGGCCGCGCCAACCACGACAAGAGCTGGGCCAAGAAGCTCGCCATGCGCATCATTTCCTCGGGCGAGCCCATCGCCTGGGACGACCCTTACACCACCGGCGCCGTCTTAGACGCCCTCGCCCCCGTTGCGCAGGTGGGCACCGGTCTCGTCAACGCCTCGAAGGTGCTGGGCCAGGACACGAGCCTGTCGTTCACCAGGTTTGCCCTCAACGACACGCGGCACTTCAGCCGCTACCAAAAGGTGGACATCACCAACACCGGGACAAGGCCCGTCACGTACACGTTTTCACAGCAGGACTACGGCGGTCTAGCCGCCGTCCACACAGCGTCGCCGGCGCGCATAGCCGACGCCAGCGAGCTACTGGCAAACCCGCTCAAGCTGAGCCCGCGGGTCTCATTCCCCGGCGCCGGTTTCACCGTCAATCCCGGACAGACGCGCACGGTGCAGTTCAACTTCTCGCCGCTGACCGAGGGCGCCGCGGCCGCGCCCGAGGCGCTCCCCGTGTACAGCGGCCGGATCGTCATCAAAGGCAGCAACGGCGACGAGCTGTGCGTGCCGTACCTCGGCCTCGCAGCGGACCTCAAGCGCGACGTGGGCGTCATGTTCGAGCGCACGGCCGGCGTGCCGCTCATCGTTTCGGGCGCCGCCAACGTCAGCATCGAGACCAAGGCCAACTTTACCTTCAGCCAGGACGCCGCGCGCCCGGATTTCCCGCGCCTTTCGATGCGGAGCTTCTTCGGCACGCGCGAGCTGCGCTGGGACGTCTTCGAGGCGTCGTGGCGCGAGCGGCAGTGGGCCTACCCGCCGCGTGAGGGCCAGGCGGGCTTCGTCGGGTCCGTGGCGGCGTGGTCGTTTGTCGGCGATGATTTCATGTTTGAGCCAGATTTCGACGACGTATGGGAGATTTTCAGATTTCCCCTGGTCAATGCGCCGCGGACCATGTCGACCATACTGCCGTCCGAATTTTCGTGGTTCGGCGAGCTGGGCAATGGGACGCAGATCGCGCCGGGGCGGTATCGCATGCGGGTGGCCTCGTTGCGGCCGTTTGGCAACCGCGCGGCGGCGGACAATTGGGATGTGTTTGAGACGCCGGAGATTGAAGTGCTGCCGCTGAGAAAATGAGACTGCTTGGTGTTGTAGTCAGTCATTATGCGGTGTTCGCGACTTCAGCTGAGCTAGTCGGCGATTCGAGTCTCTTCATGAACATTGATCGAGAATTGACCAGTGTCAGGGACTTGTTCCGAGAAAGTGGCCTTGAGACTGCTCAATGAAAAAACTTCCGTGGTGAAATCCTCCGTTCTTGCAGATGAATATTCTGGGAGATGATCATGGTCTCCGGCCTGGCTAGAGGCACACTACAGGGACATGGGCCACTGATGAATGCCAGGAAATACCAGCACCATCTTTCCAGTAGCTTTACTTGCAGACAAAAGTGCTTTCATGCGCTTGAGGATCCTTCAACTACTCTAGATTCTGTTTGTTCGCAGAGGCACTACGCTTCCCCATCTACCCAGACGACAATATTTTTAGGCGGATCCCGCAGCCCCTTGAAAAAGGCCGACACCTGCTCGTCGCTGTACCGCATGCTGAAATGCATAATGATGAACGTCGTCTTGGGCCACCTGCGCACGACGGCCTCGAGATCGGGCCAGTACGTGTGCTTCGTCTTCTCGGCCTGGGCCTTGTGCTCCTCGTACAAGAAGCTGCACTCGGTGATGACGACGGGGATGCCGCCCCGCAGCCACGGCGGCTCCGCGGCCAGCACGGAGGCCGTCGTGTCGCCGAGGAAGGCGAAGACGGGGCTCGTGTGCGGGGCCGTGATGTCGACGCCCGAGGTGCGCAGGGCCTTGATCTCCTGGCCCGCGAGGGACGTGTACTCGGGCTTGAGGCGGTGGGTCGTCGTGCTGAAGACGTAGCCGACGCAGGGGACGTTGTGGTCGCACCGGAAGACGGAGGCGCTCATGCCCTTGAGGCGGCGCAGGGGGATCTCGTCGCCAGGGACGACGGGGTGCGTGACGTGCGTGCCGAGAAAGGCCCGCTGCGAGGGCGTCCGGCCGTCGTCGTCCACGTCGGGGGCGTCCTTGTCGACGGGCAGACCGCGGGCCTCAGCCTCGTCGTACTGGATGTGGCCGCCACGGTTCATCATGGTCTTGGCGAGGATGTAGTCGTCGAAGAACTTCTTCATCTCGACGGGGCAGTAGATGTCTGGCGGGTCTTCGCGCTTGACAAAGGCGGGCGAGAGGAGCACGTGGTCGCTGTGGCCGTGGGTCAGGAAGATGTGTTTGGGGCGCTCCTTGTTGACGACAAGACCGGCGTCGAGGAGGAGATTGAGCTGTGGGATGACGAAGGACGTGTGCCACGCGGCTCGTGACTTTCCCGTCAGGACATATTGATGGTAGGGCTTGGGGAAGCGCCACTCGAGGACCTCGGATCGATTTGACTGGGGCAGGGGCGTCGCAAAGGCAGGCGACGGCTGGGCCATGGCGATATGGCCCTAGAGTGCTTGACGAGTAGGCCTAGAGTGCTTGACGAGTAGGCCTAGAGTGCTTGAAGAGTAGGCCTAGAGTGCTTGACGAGCAGGCCCTGACGTGGATCTCTTATTCAATGTTTGTATGAGAGTCCCAGTTCCTGAGTGTTGAGGTGTGAGGCCTGGTTGCGTCAGTTGTGGTTGCTGGGAACAGGCAAAGCTTGAGAGGCACCGTCAAGCAGTTGGCCACGGACCCGTGCATATTCCCCGATACGGACTCACAGGATGTAGAGGCTCAATGTGTGCGTCAGCCTGATGAAGCCGAAGCGATACCGCCCCCCGTTGAGATGTAGAAGCGCGGCATCGTGATGGTGTTGCGGCATTCAAAAATGGCGACTCACTCGATACTGGAGGGGCTCCGGGACCCACATGGCCTGCTGATGTCATCACTTCCAACGCTCCACACTGACGGCCCTGAAGCCACTAAAATCGTGGTGTCTGGGCCCTGATCGAGAGTGCCCAAGGGAGCCCCGAGATCTGCTTCAGGGGCAGAATAGCGTCCGGCCACAAGCCTTGGTGGGCGCTGTAATGATCCTCCAGTGGACGTCTTAGGGGTCTCGCGCATCCAGTACGCTCCTTCTTAGCACGCATGGTGCATGGATGCCCGGTCTAGCCAGGCCCCGGCTGGGAGATCAATGCTGCCGGCAGGGTCAGCAAGGCCCTGAGCCACCTGAACCACACCGCTGTATTCACGGCGATGTACCAGTATTATTCGAGGGCCTCGGCCTTCCACGAGTCCCCTCACTGCCCACATGTCGCCGCTCATCACCAGAACATCATGTAATACATCGTGTATCCTCACCATCTGCCAATACTTCTGTGTCCATAAATGCACGACACTGCAATATGATGCAGCCGAGAAGGTTTCACCCGTCTTCTGAGAGACTTCTACGAGTTCTGCAATCGCCTCTTCGAGGACACCACCATGGCCTACGTCCTCTCAGACAGCTGGGCCTCTAGCAACCAAAAAACGCTGAGCGGTTTCGAACGGAATGAAACAGTCATCGACCTCCTGCAGCACCTGCCTCACCTAAGCTCGCCGCAAATTACGAAGTGCTCTTAGACTTTTGCGAAACTGCTCGCAGCTCGCCGTATCTAGATCAAGGGGACTTGAAATTTTGTTAGGAGTGATAACGAGCAGTCTGATTTTGGCCGGGGCTTGCAGCTTTCTTTTGACTTGTATACCTAGCTAAATTAATGCTTAGCTTTAGCTGGAGGTGACGTTGACGTCTTTCACTGCCCATGGCTGCTACACTGCCATGATGGCTTGATGACATTTCATAAAAAATAACATTTCTCCTAGCATGGAAGCTTTTTATTGTTGTCCTCTCAATGGCTACTTGCATGCCTGGTTCAAGACGCCGTGACGCGTTTCTACCACTGTGAGGTCCCGTAGAGACTGAGCTCGTACACAGTCAATCCATTGTGTTGTCTGCTGTCTTATTCAAATGTGCCAAGTGCGTCAGACATTGACGTTTCAATACCTTAGTCCACTGGCTGAAAAAGATTGTGTGACGACCGCTATGGTTTAAGCCTCGACGTTGAAGTATTCAAAACATATTTTGGTCATCCCGAAACCAAACACTTCGGATTTGAGACAGTGACTTTCTTTTTCTTCTGCTCTCCTCTCCCCCGACATCCATGCTTAACTTATTCGGCATCATGACTTGCAGGACCTTGCACTAGCGTCGAATCGCCGCAGAAGATTCGGAAATGATATCACAACGGAGAACCCATCCGCCGAGGAGTTGTGCTCGACCACCTGTGCCATCCCACGCCACTTCAAGCGCAGTCCGCCATCCGATGACCACAAGAAATCGCAAATATAAAGCCAGGTCGCGAGCGTCGTTGAACCCGACGTGACGACACATCCATAAATCCCGACAAACTGTTCTTATCCCCCCGCATCCGATCCCGGCAGCTTATCATCTGGCCACGAGCTCATGCAAGCCATGCCCGTTCTACTCCCCATCGGGACTGATGCGGGGGAAGCTCCAGCACCAGCCCGTTCTCTTATCGACGGCTGATCGCCCAGGCCAATGACTACCACAATCGTCTTAGCTTACGACTACGACGGTCATTGGGGAACGTCGCATCCTAAAGGGTGTGAGGCGTCTTATCGCCTTTGTGTTTGGTTGGACTTATCTCGGAGGTTGAGAGGTCAGGTCACACATGGCTACAGCACCCCGCGCTCGGCCGCGACGGGTGCGACTCAGGCCATGGTCAGTCTCAAGTATAAACGTCGGCCCTCTCGCGAGCCTTCAGCCATACCCCAAGTCCGCAGTATCTTTACCAACTCAACCTTTGTAACTCGTCTGTCTCCTACGCATCAGCCATGCCTGCAGCAGTGAACGGCACACTGCCGCACCCTCTCGATCCCCTCACTTCGGCTGAGATCGAGCAAGCCATCGCCGCCGTCCAAAAGGCACACGGCGAATTGTTCTACAATGTCGTCTCACTCCATGAGCCCCGAAAGGCCGAGATGACCGCCTGGCTGGCCGACCCTGCCAGCGCCCCTCGGCCTGCGAGGATCGCCGACGTCGTCGTCATCGCCAAGGGCGGCAAGGTCTACGAGGGTTTCGTGGACCTGGTCGAAGACAAGATCACTCACTGGGATCTCCTCGACGGCGTGCAGCCAATCGTAAGTAGCTGCAGCTCTCCCGATGCCCATGCGCAAACTGACGGGTCAGATCACAATGGAAGAGCTCGTAGCCGTTGAGCACATCTGTCGTAAGGACCCCAAGGTCATTGAGCAGTGCGAGATCTCCGGCATCCCCAAGGAAGAGATGCACAAGGTGTACTGCGACCCCTGGACCATCGGTTACGATGAGCGTCACGGCAACGTCGTGCGCCTGCAGCAGGCCCTCATGTACTACCGCCCCGACGTCGACACGTGCCAGTACCAGTATCCTCTCGACTTCTGCCCCATCTACGATGCCGACAAGCAAGAGATTGTCGATATCGACATCCCCAAGATCCGTCGGCCTATTAGCAAGACGAAGCCTGTCGACTACCATCCCGCTGCTATTGAGAAGAATGGCGGGTACCGGAATGATATCAAGCCCATCAATATCACACAACCAGAGGGCGTGTCGTTCAAAATCGAGGGCAGGGAGCTGGAGTGGCAGAACTGGAAGTTCCACATTGGCTTCAACTACAGGGAGGGTATTGTGCTTAATAACATCACCTACAACGACAAGGGCAATGTGAGACCAATCTTTTACCGACTTTCGCTCGCCGAGATGGTCGTCCCCTACGGCAACCCGGAGCATCCCCATCAAAGAAAGCACGCTTTTGATCTCGGCGAGTATGGCGCGGGCTACATGACGAATGCGTTGACACTGGGCTGCGACTGCAAGGGGTCTATTCATTACCTCGATGCCGAGTTTCCCACGCGTGCTGGCGGGGTCCGCACGATCAAAAACGCTATTTGCATCCATGAAGAGGACAGTGGCATTCTGTTCAAGCACAGTGATTTCCGTGATGACTCGGTCATCGTGACCCGGGCGCGGAAGCTCATTGTGCAGCAGATCTTCACTGCCGCTAACTATGAGTATGCAATTCAGTGGATTTTCCATGCAAGTCACACCCGAGCTTCTCTCACTCTGTTTTGAGGTAACTAACAGCCACGCTAGCAAGACGGTACCATCCAGCCGGAGATCAAGCTCACAGGCATTCTCAACACATATGCCATGAACGAGGGCGAAGATACTAAGGGCTGGGGCACCCAGGTGTTCCCCGGCGTCAACGCCCACAACCACCAGCACCTCTTCTGCCTGCGCGTCGATCCCAATATCGACGGTCCGCGCAACACAGTCTTCCAGGTCGACACGGTCGCTTCTGACGCCCCCGTTGGCAGTCCTGAGAACTTCTATGGTAATGCCTTTGGGGCCCGTCGCACCAAGCTTGACACCACAGGCAATTCGAAGACGGACTACAATGGTGCGACATCACGCACGTGGGAGATGGCCAACACAAGCAAGCTGCACCCTTACAGTGGAAAGCCTGCTAGCTACAAGCTGGTTAGCCGCGAGGTGCCGGGACTGCTGCCCAAAGAGGGCTCGCTTGTTTGGAAGCGTGCAGGCTTCGCCCGCCACGCGGTGCACGTCACGAAATGTAAGCTTCCCATCCCACCTTGCTACCTTACGAATGACCATGTTGTATGGATCACCTACTAACGGTTCAGACCGCGACGATCAACTGTGGCCCGCAGGCCGCCATGTGCCGCAGACTTCAGGCGAACCGTCGCGTGGCATTCCCGAATGGATCGGCGACGGTACCGAGTCCATCGAGGACGAGGACGTCGTGCTCTGGCACACGTTCGGCGTGACCCATATCCCGGCGCCCGAGGACTTCCCCGTCATGCCAGTCGAGCCGATCACGCTACTGCTGCGGCCGCGCAACTTCTTCCGGAACAACCCCGTTCTCGACGTGCCACCGAGCTATGCAAGCACGCCGTCGCAAGTTGCTGCGGGCAAGGGAGCCCTCGACGCGGCGGACAAGGAGAGTACGCTTGCGTTCAGAGAGTGCTGCTCGAATGGGACCAATGGACAAGCAAATGGTACTAATGGACATGCGAACGGGACCAATGGGTCGTCTTGAGCGGAGGTAAGAATGTAGGATTACCGATGTCTGAAAGTAGTATCCATTTTAGGAGGCCTGCCGCCCTTCGAATTCAGGTTTTATACTCGTTTGCTCATCCTTTGCCTGCTAGCCTGACGTGATGCTTCAACCCGAGAACGTGCGCTGAACTTGATCACTCTTGACCATTGCCAAGGAAATTTAAGAACCCTGATAGTCGGGTTACAGTAGCAAATATTCTGGGCATATGTCTTGGGGTGTCCCCTAGCGGCCCTAAGTCTGTCGCCAAGGCCACGAGCGGCACCTGCGGATTCTCAGGGAGGGTTACTTCTAGTATGTGGGTTCAAGCAATGAGAGCCGCGTTCCCACGATGCCAGTAAAAAGCAGCTGAGCGCACTTGGCAATCCTTCGTTCGTCTTGGTATGAGTCGCCTCCACTCATGACGAAAGATTGGTTCCAAGCTTCAGATTTGGGCGTTGAGGAGTCCGGACTTAAATATCTTCATCAATTTCCAGCCCCGGGTCTCTTTCAAACAATTTCTGCACACTATCGCTCAATCATCGTGAAAACCAGAAATTGAACAGCATGCCCACTAAATCACGCTTTGCTTTCGCGGCTGCATTGTTCCTGTCTGGTCAGCCTTATGCGACCGCCCAGAGGAACGAGGGCCTTGAAAACTGCCCTCTCCCCATCCGTCACCTCGCAGACGAACGCAGCTGGAATGCCACTGGCACAATTGCTATTCCGCCGCTTGGGAATGGAGATGAAGATTGGTTCGTCTCTGCGACCCTGACCGACATCCGCAGAGCCAATGTTTACTTCGACGGCTGGCCGACAGCTCAAGAGCTGGCCGTCTTCCTCAGCGTGCCCCAGAGCTTTGTTGGCAGCGAGACTGGCAATGCGACGCGTGTGTGCGGATACACCATGCCCGGGCAGAATGCGACTTCTATAGGTGACGCGTCAAGTGAGGACTCATGCAGCGGCGTACTGTCAGAAGAGTGTATCGAAGAAGCTTTGAAAACGCCGATGACACCCTCCGACGGGCCCTGTCCTGAGCTCGACCTCGGGGACAAATGTGACGTCTCCACTGGCTTCCGCACCTGTACGTGCCCCCGTGCCTCTTGTTCGCGTTCTTCGCTCAAATACTGACCCGGAAAGCCAACCCTGTCCAACTCAACCCCTCCGTCTGCGTTTTGGACAATCTACCACACACTGATGTTCCAAACGGATACCGCTCCTTTGCTGGCTTCCCCGGCTGGCGCATCATGCCTCCGGACGAGGAGGAGAACGGGTTCGATGTATACGACCTGCGGGTACAGCAAACCGTGCCCATGCTTTTCACAGTGCATTCTGGATCACAGCAAAAGGTGCACCTTGTCTGCGTTGCGCCGAACAAAGTGGTGGAGGGGAGCCGGGAGCCGCAGGCAGAGTTCCCGCCTTCGGATGCGGGGGTAGTACGGAGCGGGGCCGGTTTAGCCTTTGCTGCGGCGGTAATGGCTGTAGCGATGCAGTTATAAGTTACATCACTTGCTTACGGGTAATCAATGCCATTGAGCATCGCAAAGTCCCGTAGTTTACGGCTCGTAGTATTATAAGATCAATGTGGAGTACAGAGGCCGATACTTGTCATCTCAACCCATCGGAAGTCAACCCCAAACCATAGAACAACTCCATCATCGTGTTCATCCGAGATTGAATAACTACCTCAGCCCTTTTTCTGCGACTCACCAAAATACTTGACCAGCTTGAGTTGACAGAAAGAAAGTCTGCTGACGAGGTCCTATTCTGCAGTGGATGTGTTATTCCGACTACTCGCCGTTCTAAAGAGTACCTTGGGGCTGATTCTCGGGTTTTTTATCAGGGACCTGGTGTCCTTGATCGGAGTTTGGCTTCTGGTCCTTGGGCTTCTCGGCCTCCTTTGTCTTTGGGCCATTCTTGGTCTCCGTCTTCTTCGGTCCCTCATCCTTCTTAGGGTGCTCAGGCCTTTTGGGATGTTCCGGCCTCTTCGGGTGCTCCGGCCTTTTGGGGTGCTCCGCCTTCTTAGGATGTTCTGGCTTCTTCGGGTGTTTAGGGTGTTCTGGCTTCTTGGGGTGCTCCGCCTTCTTGGGGTGTTCCGCCTTCTTGGGGTGCTTCGCCTTCTTGGGGGGTTCCGCCTTCTTGGGATGTTCTGGCTTCTTCGGATGCTTAGGGTGTTCTGGCTTCTTGGGGTGCTCCGCCTTCTTGGGATGTTCTGGCTTCTTGGGATGTTCCGGCTTCTTCGGGTGTTTGGGGTGTTCTGGCTTCTTGGGGTGCTCCGGCTTTTTGGGATGCGCCGGTTTCTTCGGGGGCGAGGCCTTGTTATGATGCTTGGGCTCCTCGGGTTGTTTCGGCTCTCCATGGTGCTTTGTCTTGGGCTTATCGTGGTGCTTGGACTTGCCAGGACTTTTGCGATCCTTTGGGTGCTTCTTCTTCGGCTTGTCGTGGTGGCCCTTAGACTTATGTTTATCGCCGTTCGTCTTTTCGTGCTTCTTCAGGCCCTTCTTCTTGTCTTGCTTCCCGGGCTTTTCGTGTTCTTCTTGAGGAGGGTTTCGCGCCGCAGGTTGAATGACCGATTCGGGTACATCGCTGACCCCCATCTTCGTCACATCTTTGCCCTTCCTTTCTTTGCCTTCTCCCTTCTTCAATTTCTTCTCCTTGATCGTCTCTTTTACCTGCTCCACAGGAGTCTTCTCCTTTTCAGCGACTGGCACCATGGCGCTGTACTTCTTCGCTGAGCGGCATATGCCAAGACAGTCGGTGGTAGTCGTGCATCCTGCAGAAATCGGGACGCAGACCCAACCCTTGCCGCAGTCAGGCTTGGCGAGAGTTCGACAGAACTGCTGCTTCGGCATGGCGAGTGCCGTAGGCAGGACGAGGGCAGCGCCCGCGAGAAGGGTCCCGAGCTTCATGGTTTTCAAATGTAATGATGGACAAGGGTGTAAGGATGGTCTTGATAGCACCACAAGATGTGAAGTTGCAATGAGGGTTTCTTGAGTAGCAGGGAGCCACCATCTTATGTAGATGAGAATCAATTCCCGTGATCGGAAGCGGCCTCTCAGTAAGTTCGTGACACGGAGTGTAGTGGAAAGTTGTTTCTGTTTTCTGAAGCCTGCCCTCAACCTTACCAAGCCTGAATGTCACAACTCCAAAATCTCAGCAGAAATGGCTGAACTGAATTCGACAACATCATCCGTTATCGCCGTGATCCGAAGCGGCCACTTTTCAAGTGGCGCAACATCTCAATGAGGATGTCACTGGTGCTATATCAAACGCAAAATGACTTGGACATTCACTGCGCTTCAGCATAGATTTACTCCAGCATGATATTTCTTTTGCATGTGAGTGAGGATATTAGACGTGGCCCGTGGCTGCAAGCCACGCCCTCTTCGGAAGGCAATCAAGGTTCGGTGAGGTGCCTTCAATTTCCACCTGCTGCGCATACATTTTGAAGGTCGTTGACAGAAAATGGTGCCGACACGATCTCATACCGCAGCTTGCTGGATTCGCGTCTTAACCATAGCTTTACAGGACAACACCACGGTGGTCAAATCTCTTTGGTTTTACTGTCTATAACAGGAGATGGCTATCATGCCAAGAAGTTTGATTCAGCAACCCTGTTGGGTTTTCGACGTTGCAACGGATGGCGACAGATCTCAAACCTTCGACGCCTTACGAACCGTAAGTTCAGCATGTGTGGGCACTGAAGTTCGACCGTGCTCGCAATTAATTAACATGTGGCGACATGGTACCTTGAGCATTGAATCAGTGGCTGGCGAGCCCCGGCAAATGGTCATCCCCAGTATGTTACTGGTGTCATCGGAAGAAAGACATGAGGACTTCCTTGGACACGAAGTTTATCATCGAGAGGATGAGCAAGCCCGAGTCGCCAGCCTCGGCAGGCTTGTGAACAGTCGACGATGCGACCCATCAGCTGAGGATATCGTCCCCTGCATAAGACGATCATCTCTCAAACCCGCCCCCAGCGCCCTAAGCACACATGCCGAGGACGTCACAAAATGCCACCACACCTTCAGGGCCCAGAGGTCTCAGTACTTATTCATCCCGGAGACCAACCCCGCCCGGTCGATCACAGCAGCGCCGACCCCGCACCCGGCCGAACGAATGAGCGCCATTCCCGCCCCCACGTGAATGTCCGATTCCGAGGCCCCGCGCCGGTCGCCTCTTCTGGGTAACCTCACATGCAAACTCGCTCTAACTGGCGTCCTATATCGGGCGAAAGCCCACCGTGGAACAAGTTGTGATCGTCACGACGCCTGTTGCTTGTCTCCTATTTCCCGCGGTGGTACTGTGACACAGTCGGTAGCCTGCATGTCGGCTCGCCGAGATGGGCGAAAGCCATGATGATCTTGGCTACCCATCGTTCGGATGAGTTGGGAGCGAGCCACGTGCGTGAACGGACACGATCGCCAGGGACACCTCAACGCACGCCAAGGCCCAGGCCGTTGAAATGACACCTCAGACTCTCAACAGAGCGGCAAAACATAAGTACCGCGGCCACCATGCGATCTCACATTATCGAAACTTGCTCAAGAGCACCGGCCGCAACCCACAGCAGCAATGAAGGCAACAGTCCTCCTGGCATCCGGCCTCCCGGCCCTCGCAGCCTCGAAAATCATAGACTTCACCCCACGCCTCATATCCTACAACATCCGCTGGGCCGTCCCCATCGTCCTCCCCCCCGAACCCGCCTGGTCCGACCGCCTCCCCTCCCTGGCATCCCAGCTCTTCCACGAGACCGCCGGCCGCCCGACGTCCCTCATCTGCCTGCAGGAAGTCCTCGCGACGCAGCTCGCCGACATCAAATCCGCCCTCGGCACCCCGACCTGGTCCTCCGTCGGCGTCGGCCGCGACGACGGCGCCGAGGGCGGCGAGTTCTCGCCGATTCTCTTCCGGCCCGACGCCTACGAGCTTCTCAACAGCTCGACGCGCTGGCTGTCGCCGACGCCCGAAGAGCCGGGCAGCAAGGGGTGGGACGCGGCGCTGCCGCGCGTCGTGACGACGGCGACGCTGCGGGACCGCCGGAGCGGCGCACCGCTGACGTACATGTGCACGCACTTTGACCACATTGGCCAGACGGCGCGCGTCGAGTCAGCGAAGCTGCTCGTGCGGTTCGCGGAGGAGGCTGCGGTTGTGGTGGATGGCGAGGAGACGCCTGTTTTCCTGGGTGGCGACTTGAACATCACGCCCGAGAACCCTGCATATTTGGAAATGGTTGCTGAGGGGAATTATCACGATGCGAAGGATGTTGTGGATCCGAGACGAATCCATGGACATCTCAACACTTTTACAGGGTTTTCGGATGACCGAAGTGGTTGGTCGCGCATTGATCATGTGTTTGTCTGGAGGCCTGAAGTCCAGGGCATGGCGCTTCTCAACTACGGCGTCTTGGAGAACAAGTTTGATGACAACCTTTGGATATCGGATCATCGTCCCGTCATTGTCGATGTCAACTTTGCAATCAACAAAACGTGTGTGGAACGCAGCTAGTCAAATGGACAGAGCAATGACTATCAAGAGTCTATCATGTCTTGTCTACAAATATCATGACATTGTATCCTTCAAATCACATCCCTCTAGTACTTGCCCGTGATGGTGATCTCAGGCGCCTGGAAAACGTCCCAGTTGTCCGAGGCCTCGGGGTTTCCGAACGGCTTCAGCGTAGCGAAGCGGATGTGATACTTGCCCTCGGCGATCTGGCTTCCGTTACCCAGCCTACCGAACCAGTAGTAGCGGAAGAACTGTGCGGTGTTCTCCGCGTTGCGGTAGATGTCGGTGACGGGGAAGGTGAAGGTCTGGTTGGGGTTGTGGAAGACAGGGTTGAAGACTTCAACCGAGGCAGCACCAGCCCAAGCCGCGGCGGGCCCGACGTAGCCGTTCTGGCCCTCGACAGGGGGGTACTTCCAGTTGCGTTCCCTCCAGCCAGCCTCGTAGATCTGTACAAGCTAGTCAGTAAAAGTCCCAGCAGCAAGAATAAGACGAGTAAAACATACATCGAAGCGAACCTGGCGCGAGCCCCAAATAAGCTTGCTGAAGATCTTGGGGAAATCCTGGGCACCAACGCTCAGGTCAAAGGAGTACCTAGAACTGTGAGCAGAAGTCAAATGGAGGAGACGAAAAGTACATACGAAGCCTTCTGAGCGATGGGGGTGTTGCTGACGCCCGAGTAGGACAAGGGGAAGCCGGACTGGTAGATGGGGTCGGATTGGCGCTTGAGATCGGCACCGAGACCAAGGAAGGGAACGGACAGGCGCTCGCCGTTGCTGCCAACAACGAAAACCTTGCCACCGTACAGAGGCAGAGCCGAGGCGTTCCAGCCAAGGGTGTCGGGGTTGCGGAAGTTGACGCTAACGGTCTTGCTCTCGCCCGGCTTCAGGGTGAAGTCGCGGGGCAGGCTGATGCCAACCTCAAGCTTCTTGGGACGCAGCTCAGCGAAGCTCTTGAGACGGCGGGTGAGGCCACCGGTGACGGTGGGGAGGTAGCCGAGAGAGTCGACACCAGCGCCGTGTTCGTACGAGAGGGCGTACTCAACAGACTGTTTGCCCTCATTCTTGACGGTGATGTCGTGGTACCGGTTGAAGTAGCGCGTGTCGTTGAGCTCAATCTTGTCGAAGCGCAGGAGGGTGTCGTAGTTGACGACCTTCCAAGCGTTGATGAGACCGCTACCGACCTGAGCAGGAGGGGCGGGGAAGTTGTAGTCAAGAGCGGAGCCGTCGGACCAGGGCACAGAGACACCGCTGGAGATGATGCGCTCGCTGAGCTCCTTGGCGAAGCCGTTGCCGTGCTTGGAACGACCGCCATGAGCACTGATCCAGAGCGCAGCAACACCAGCGACGTAAGGGCAGGCCATCGAGGTACCACTGATGGTGTTGTAGCCACCGTCGAACCACGCACTGAAGATATCGCCGCCAGGACCAGCAACATCGGGCTTGAACTGGAGGTCGTAGGTGGCACTCCACGAGGTGAAGATGCTAGGGCGGCCACCGGCATCGTAGTCGATGGCAACCACCTGCTCGGGGTTGATGGAGAAGTCGGCCGTAACATTGCCACCAGCCTTGATGGTGTTGACGATGGCGACACCGGCATCGGCGCTGATGGCAGCAATCAGGGCGGGGGAGGCTGCGTCGAAAGGAGGCTTCTGCAGGGTGCCTTCGTTGTTGTAGATCAGGACATACTTGGCACCAGCGGCAGCAAGGTTCTGCTGCTTGACGGTATAAGCACAGCTGCCGCGCCTCACAAGAGCGACAACGTTGGAGAAGTCGCGGCCGGTGAGAGGAGAGCAGGCGTCGTCGGCCACAGCAGTGTTGAGCGTCACGGGGACAATGGGCCAGTCGACGACAGAGGGGGGAACGTTCGATGAGGCGGGAATGTATCCGGCCCTGGTCGAGTTGACCTTGCCGTCGAGGCTGAAGGTGACCTCGAAGGGCGTGGCCGGGAAGACCTCGTTGCGAATGGACGCAACAGCGACGACGTTGCGACCAGAACCGCCTGAAGTGCCGAAGAAAGCACCGGCGGCACCGCTGTTGCCGGCGGAGATGGTGACGACAACGCCATCCTCCACCAAACGAGAGGCGACGACAGCCCAGGCATTCTCAGCCCAGCCGTTGGTGCCTCCAATACTGGCGGTGATGATATCGACCTAGCCATGTCAGCGGAGCTACATCACTGTGGGCAGTGGTCACCTACACCATCCTCATACGCACGGAGGAAAGACTCGATCAGAGTGGCCGAGTCGGTGGAGGGCTACGACGAGTCAGCGTCAATCCGTCTTCGCGTCACAGGGCCAGCTTCACGTACGGACTGGGAGAAGACCTTGTAGGCGTAGAGGGTAGCCTCAGGCGCAACACCCTTCCAGCTACATTCGGTCAGCGTTTTCCTTCTTCCAGTGGAGCAAATTGTGAGGCATCGTACTATTCGGTGGAGCCGGCAATGATGCCAGCAACGTGGGTGCCGTGACCGCTGAAATCGTTCGGGTCTTGGTCGGGCTCCTTGGCGGTGGTCGGCCAGACTATGAGTTACAATTAATACGGCATCCAGAAGACGTGTGGATGGCCAACTCACTTCCATCACCAACCAGATCGTAGCCACCGGCAACCTTGAAGCCGGGTCCGAAGCCCTTACCAAGCTGCACATCGTCAGCAACTGCCTTCTCCGCTCGAGTTCTCGTCACGCACAGCATTGTGGTTGTAGGCGATACCGGTGTCAACGACGCCGATCTTGACGCCCTTGCCGAGGATGCCCTGCTCATGGAGCTTGTCGACACCGGTCGCGATGTGCGGCGTGTACTCAATGGCCTTGGCGTCGTCGCTGAAGCCCTGGTGGACCTCAAAGGACGGCAGGTCGACCTTCTCGTTGAGCCAGACGTTCTTAACCTCAGGCAGCCTCAGGAGGCTGTCCAGGTTGTAGGACTCGGTCTCGACGCTGACGCCGGAGAAGATGTCCGACTCGAATGTCTTGACGACTGTGATGTCGTCGGTGGACTCGAGGCTGGCCTGGCGCCTGCGCAGAGAGCTCTGGTACGGATTAGCAGGGGCCCACGACCACGATCACTGACGCGATGGTTCCTTACACGGCTGTACTCAATGATGTAGCTCTTGGCGACGTACTCCCGGTTGTCCTCGGCCGTGTCAAGATCGAGGCGGCGCTCGAGGGCAAGGGCGCCCCGTGCCAGGGGCAGAGCCAGAAGCAGACTGTTCACACGCATGGCGATGGACTGGACTGGACTGAGAAGTCTCGTATAGTATCGCAGCTGAGAGCCTGACGATCACAGGATCATTGCAGATCACGGGCGCGCGAGCTGGATTAAATAGCAGCGTGTACTCGGGCAGCAGCCTCGGCGGCGGGCGTGCGTCGGAAGAACATCCATCGACGACCCCTGCTCCCACCCCATCTTCGCGCGTCTTTCGCAAGACCCAAGACGTGATGCGATGACTCGTTCTCGCCTGTGCTACCGACACCGCAGGTCAAGCTCGTGTTGGCTCGAGGCGCAAGGAATACAACGCGCCGTGAGGAGAGGGGCCATGTCGCGTGCTGCTGGACAGGCATAGCGTCAACGCAGAGGGGTGCAAAGGTTGGCGGGCACGAGAGACCTGCCAAGCCTGGCGATGGTCGTTGAGCTTCCTTGTTGGCACAAGCCAAAGGGGTCCCGGTTCGGTAGAGCCAATAAGCCAGATCGGGTGCGTGCCGGATGCCACAGTAAACATTGTCGACCTGCCGAGTTGAGCGAAAGCGCCGCAGCGGATGCCGGAGGTCCCAGGGCGCACTAGGGCCCGAGTATGTAGTGCAAAGAGGGCCCGGGTGGCGTCCATCTCATCTTTCGAGTTGGGTGGGGAGACGGGCGGTCCATCCATCGAGGGCCTTATCGGCCAGGGTAGGGATCTGGAGGAGGGGGCGACGCCAGGCCTGATCAGGCTTCTGGAATGCGAAGTGGATAGTGGCGGCCTGCAGCGTTGCATCGGACCGGGGAGGGCGCGGGGAGGGAAGGCTCTGAGCGCGAGGCCAGAAGCTGTATGCTGTGCATCGTCCTGCCGTTTTCCCTCTGGGGCGATATCACGACAGACAAGCTGCGTCTTGCGACGGCGTGCTGATTGGTCGTCTCGTTCGTAGCGTCCCAAGCCTATGCGGGAGAGGCGTAGAGAGGAGATGTTCTTGGGCACTTGGCTCTGCTCTCGTTCCAGGCTGTGGGCACCTGGATGACTCCATCGCGGCGCCGTCGACTCTTCTCGTGAGAAGCCAGGGTTAGGTATTTCGGCGCCGCCCGACGGTGCCTGGACCGTTTCTGGCGATCATCGTCTCCGATGGCAGCTGAGAAACGCAGGACGATGCTCGAGGCGTGAAGCTTGATGCATGAGGCGCGAGGCGAGTGATGGGGCTATGGATAAGCGGCACCACGATGCAGACGGCAGGGTGAAGTGGTTCGGAGGAGAGGAAAGAGAAGCCTTCTCAGCAGCCGAGGAGACAAGAAAGGCAAGTTCGTTTGTGGTGGGGTGGCGCCTGACCAAGAATATCCCCGATTCATGGGGTTGCAGCCACTCTCTTGCCATATTGCTAGGTACCTACATCACCTACCTAGGCACTTATCTAGGTACCTATCTACATGTACCTACCACCATGATTGCCCATGGCGCCACACACATTCCGCCACTCTCCTGTCCACCTCCTGCGGCACCTTAGGCAAGGTACGTGCCTACCCAAGGCACCTATCGTACAGGACTTGGGTCCTGCGCCCAAACAATCGCCTTTCTCCCAACTCTCCCGACTGCCCTGAGTTTAAAAAAAGGTCGGTCGGGGTAATCTGCCTTGAGCTCCGAAGGTCTGACTTGGGTGACAACACTCGCTTACGAGCAAGCAAGAATATGGGCACAGGTCTCACGCTGCAAGGTACCAAAATGCAAGAGATACTGAAACAGGAAAGCTCACAGCAAAAACCGTCACATTCAGTTGTCTCGGAAAACCCTATCAATTGAACGACATTCTCATCTGGGGTCTGGGGCACGGCCCTGCCAGAAACCGTGGCTTTGGCATGATATGTCGTTCGCGACACATGGGTGGTTCTCAGCTTCGTTGCTGGTAAGCCTGTCTTACGTGGCCGCCCGCCCCGCCCTCGTCCCGTCCCGTATTGTTGGCAGATCTTCGACTCAGTTCAGACATTCCTTTTTTGTTCTGTGCCTGGCATGGCTGGACATATTGAAACGGCATGCGATATGTTGTCATTCGAGCGACCAAAGATCGCCGTCGTGGCGTGCGCAACTTAGACACGGCGACCATCCTCATTACGCATGGTTGACAGCATGCCCTGTCCGATGCAAGGCGCGCACTGGAGCAACATGGCAGGAGGACGTTGATGTCTTTCGAGTTCATGGCCTCCGTGATCTATAAAGTCCAGAGTCGCTGGACAGTATTGGGCTGGTTTTAGCAGACACTCAAAATCCACTCTCACAGGCTTCTCAGCACCACAGCTTCTTCAGCACTACAAAACTTCACATTCGTTACAATGGCAACTCGCCGAACCTTCTTCTCTTTCCTGGCAGCTCTCTGCGCAGCACAGGGCATCAATGCGACTTCGTACTGCTACTGTGAAGGCGGCCCAGGTTTCCACTACCTTGGCATCGAGACTGTGTGTGCCGACCTCGGGTACGTCCTCGTTGACACGAATAGAAAAGTCTTGGGAGCATACCTGACCGTGATTGAAGCACGCCATGGAACACGACCAACTGCGATCTCGGCAGTTCTGACGTCTGCAAGTTCGGAGGCGATGGCGGCGCGCCTACCGATGGCACGCAGTCTCTCCGGCAGTGGTGTAAGAGGAACTCCGAGCAACTCGTGACATGGGAGGATGAGAACGTGTAGAGACTAACACACAACAGGTGAAAGTCCTGACCGGCAGGGACGGGATCTCAACGGCGAGATGGTGCAAGGTGGTGCCCTCATCTGCACAGAGTCGAAGCCTGGTACGTCGAAGATTGGAAGCGTTTGCCCAGTCGAGAAGCTGACATGAGACAGAATGGATCGACGATTCGTGCGAAGTCCTTGGACAGGCGGGACTAGAGGAAGATGTGGAAGGCCCTCCCATCGACCTCGACGAGCCAGTCGACGGATCGGAAGACACGGACGGCATCCCGACACGCCTCCGTCGCCAAGCCGACAAATTCGGAAGCGACTTTCTCCGCTACGTCCCTGCCAGCAAGACGGCGAACCTGATCAAGACGGCATCCAATCGCAACGTCAAGACCCACGGTGACGGCAGCAAGGAGACGATCTTCCAGGTCAACGAGCTGCGCCTCAAGGGCTACAACTGGAAATTCCTGCGCAGCTACGACAACCAAAAGGGCGCCGCCGACTTCACCGACAGCGTCGAGATCACCAAGGGCTTCGAGACATCGTCCGGCTCCAACACCAAGGCGGAACTGGCCGTGAGCTTTGGCTACAACGGCCTCGCCGCCCAGTTCAGCGTCGACGCCAAGCTCTCGCACGAGTTCTTCTCGCAGAAGCGCGAGACGGTCACGACGAAGCGCAACGAGACGTTTTTCGTGCCCAAGGGTGCCGCCGCCTATCTCTACCAAAAGGTGTACGTCTGGGAGTCGACGGTGACGTTCAGGTTGACGTCCGTCGGCGGCCCGTTCGACAACGGAGGCAAGCCGGGCAAGCGCGGCACCTTTGACCTCGCCATCGACGAGAGCGAGCCCCTCTTGGCTTCGTTTGAGTTTGACGTCTTGACGGAAGAGAAGGTTGTCAAGGACGCGCCGCTGCTCGACCGCGGGACATTTGACGTCGGGAGGCTCTTCGAGCTGAAAGAACCCAAGTTCCCCAAGGCTGAGGCTCTGTACGAGGAGGACTGGACCGGCCACGTTCGCGACTTTATCAAGAAGCTCGGCTTCACGATCTGATCCGGGGGTTTCCCAAGCAGGGCTTCTACAACAAGCCTGAAGCACCGAGCCAGACATCATTCGTGCCTGGAGACAAGGACGAATGCATGGGGAGGGGGTAAGAGGGGCATGCCACTCTTCTCAGCGTCGCTACGACGAAGACAAACGAGTAATGGTCAGAGGTTTGCTGTAATGTTAATAATTTGTTCTTTTCATTTCAAGTAGTTCCTTTAGATTCTGCTATATAATTCTATTGCGCAAGAACGCGCAACATTTTTTAAATCAGCGTCACCTCGTGGCCATGTTCCAAGTTCAGGTTACTGCTGAGTGTTCCCTTTACATCGGGTAAACGTCCTGGCAGTGAATGTTGTTCATGGAGCAAGTATCCTGGTATACCATGTGTGTTCGATCTATCGATGATGAGAGACGCCGAATTATTAGACTTCATTTCAAGAGTTTCTGTATCATGATATCAGGCAGGGTGGGCGAAACACGGTTCAAACATACATGCTTTTCTGCACCTCAACGCAGCATGCATTTTGACAGTGGCCATCCCTCCCCGTACAAACTGGCAAAAAAAAAAAAAAAAAAAAAAGAATAAGAGGAATCAAATTGAACTAGATATTTTCTGAAAATTGACATCCTCCTCTCAAGACTTCGCATGGTCTACCTCACGAGGCAAACCAACTTCAACGCACGAAGCATCAAGAGGCAAAGGAAGGCTGGTGGCGCCACCTCACATGAGCCACTGGTGACCCTCATCACCTGCTGCCGCCTGTCAGCACCTGAACTCTGTCTCACTCGATGCCCCTCCCCCAGCCGAGGTGCGATGCCCGAGTCGGGGAACTCCAGTCCAAGCACTGCCAAGCACCGCCCGACGAACCCAAGCCCGATCCAATGACGGCCTGGGCCCCGGGTCGAAACATCAGATCATCTCGTTCCTGAACATCAGGGAAGAGGAGTCCATCTACACTCTGTTACACCAAGTGGACTGACTGGTCTCTCGTCACGCAAACCCATGACCCCCGCCTATAAAGCACCCTTGGTCCTAGAACGTCAACCAAAGGCAACATCGTCACCAGGCATTGCTACACCCCATCGTCACCATCACACTTGAACCGCCGGACATCTTACCCCGCTTCGGCCTACCTACGCAGGCCTACCTCTTCAAAGCATCTCGACCAAATCCAGCGAACACGCGGCGCATCTCCCCATCCCCACACCCATACGCATCACAGGACGTCCACCATGTGCATCGTACTCCTCACGACAGCTCACCCCTCCTACGCCCTCATCGTCATCGACAACCGCGACGAGTTCATCCTGCGCCCCACCTCCCGCCCGCACTGGTGGTCCCACCCCGCGGGGCCCACCGTGCTCTCGCCGCGCGACCTCCAGCGCGCCGAGAAGGGCACCTGGCTCGGCCTCACCTCGACCGGCGCCCTCGCCGTGCTGACCAACTACCGCGAAGACGGGCCCCCGGACGCCGCCCACCCGATCCACGCGCAGCGGTCCCGCGGCGGCATGGTGACGGCCTGGCTGGGCGCCGACCCGCACGAGCCGACGGCCGAGACGGTGCAGAAGCTCGTCGCCGACGGCGGCGTGCGCGGCGTCGGCGGCTTCAGCATGGTCGCCGGCAAGCTGCGGCGGAAGCGGGGCGAGGCGCGCGCCCTCGAGGGCATCGCCATCGTCTCGAACCGGTGCGGCCACGTGCATGACGTGCCGTGGATCGGCGAGGCGAGGGGCGAGGTCTACGGCCTCAGCAACACGTCCTACCACGATCCCGAGGCGTGGCCCAAGGTCGAGGACGGCAAGAGGCTCGTCAAGGAGGCCGTGGAGCAGGCGGTGGCCCAGGACCTCGACGAGGAGGCGCTGGTGGAGAAGCTGTTTGGCGTGCTGGGCACCGATACGCTGCCGGCGCCTAAGCCGGGACAGGGGTTCGCCGAATACATCCCGCAGCTGAAGCACAGCATCTTCATCCCGTCGATCGGCGATGAGCATCACCAGCAGGCCATGGTCGAGGCCACGAAGAGAGGCAAGGGCGAGTGGGATACCGACGACAAAATGGCGGCTGAACAGCTGCAGCGACCCGATGCGACGCCCGGTGAGAACGGCATCGGATTCGACACTGGCATGTACGGGACGCAGAGACAGTCCGTCATTCTGGTTGACTGGGATGGAAATGTTGTTTTCAAGGAGCGTGCCCTCTGGGATTCGAATGGAAACCCGATTCCCAAAGGAGAGGGCGACGTCGTCTTCAAGTACAAGATTGAGGGGTGGGATGACTGAGTGTGCATACGCCATCATATGACCATCTTTGTGCTCTGGAAACCCTCTAGACCGGCCGCATCATCCGCATAACGGACAAGAAAGTAGAACTAGACAAAACAGAGGAGCATTCAAAGGAGTATGAGTGCTGGATATGCCAGAAACATGATGAGAATGCCATTATCAAAGGGATCAGCACCAAGGAGGTCGTGAACTGCATGTGAGCTATAGGAGCTTGTTTAATGAAGGTTATGCTCAGTTGAAAAAGGCCCCTGGCAGTACAATCTTCAACGCGCGGTGTTCCATGTCAGGGGCCAGTAGTAACGAGACGAACAGCGATGAGTAACACTTGCCAAAGGCATGGATCTTCACAAAGAGCCAACAATGATGTTCTCACAGCACTGCAGGGCTCCATAGATGTGTGAGCCAGGCAGTGACTGGTGGCCTACCGACCATCGCCATGCCGACAGCTATAGATCGTGAGGGCAGTCGTGACCGTGGCCATCACGTCAACGCAATGCAAACGTCAACATAAACGTCGGTAACTACCTTCCCTTCCTATCTTCTGGGCTTTCTGAATCTGTGAATTCCTCCTGAACCCAAGAGGCCAAGTAGAATACCTCTTCCCGACTCTCAACGCTGCCTTCCAGAACAAAACACAAGCTTTCCCCTTCATTATCACAATCAACCGGTAACAAGCCTAGGGCTTCTTGATCCTTTCTCAACTGCTTTTATTGTTGCATTCATTATTCCTATCCTCCACGCTCTCCTCACACCTCAAGATGGGCCGTTTTGACCACAAGAAGTCCCGTCTGCCCACCCGAGAGGGCGCCGCAGCGCGCCCATCTCTTCGTAGCCTCATATCGGCACCAGTTGGACCAATTCATCGCAGTAACGGCCAAGATCTCCAGCGGGGCGAGGGGTTCTCCATCGTCCCCTCGATCGACTCCTGCGCCGGCTCTAACCCCAACAACCCAACTGTAGGTGAACAGAGAAAAGAGCATCTTGATATGGCCGACGCCCGAAGCAACAAAAATGGCTGGATCATGGAAGACGGTGTCGGTAAGACTCGGCTTGGCATTCCGACCAGCTCCTCGGCACCTATGGCAAGACGGCTTTCTGCAAGCTACAGGGGTGGCCGGCCGCCTGTTGGAAACCCTGTTACTGCCAGCGAGAACAAGATGACAACTCGTGGCACCCTCGCCATGTCACGAACGACTATTGGTTCGAATGCATCGGCAACCAAGTTCCAACCCACGCTCAAGGTCGGCGAGGCAGAACGTGCCAGCCTGGGCAGCATGAAACCATTGCCCGAACTGCCAGCTGTGAAGCATTCCAAGGGCAGACTGAGCTTGTTCACCGGAAAGAAGAGCAACTCAACTTTCAGTCTTAGCACCAAGGCCAATTTCCAGACTCAAAAGCCTTCATTCGAGACCACAGCCAAGACGGCTACCTCGGACATCGAGATCAAGTCCATCGCCTACCCGCACGCTCCTCCCCCCAAGCCTCGTCTCACCAAGTCGAGAACTCTCGCGGCACTGACTAACCTGACTGCCTCTCTCTCACGAACATCGCTCGTCTCGGACCGCAAAGCCAGCTCCTCTTCCAAGGCCAGCGTGCCTTCCGTCAGAACTGCCTCGCCCACGGTATCCACCATGACCCCTTTCCCTGTCCTCCCCGAGGAACCCCCCAGAGCTTCTCAGCCCAACGATGTCACATCGGCCCAGCCCTCGGCGTACTGGTCGGGGAGATACCTTGCCCTCCATGACAGATACAAGTCCGACGCCAACCTGACCGAAGCCCCGATGCGAACCCTTCTTGCCCAGACGCCGAACCGCATCACCCCGCGCTCTGGTCTTACGCAGAGCAACACCACCGTTGGACTGACGACCCTGACCAACTACCAGCAGAGCAGCATCCACTCTGTCGCCACAGGCCGCACCTACGTCGACGACGAACCCATCGCCATCTCCGTGTTCCGCCGCCTTGAGGAGCTCTGCACCACGCCCGAGGCCCGTGAGAGCCTGCGAGCCTGGCAGCTGTCGTACGCGCGCAAGATCAAATGCGTCAAACTGCTTCCTCCGGGCGAGACAATGGATGGCTCTGCTCCTCCTCGTAGTGACGGCGTCGTCGCTCGTTTCCTGGCCCGCAAGAGCGTCAGCGAGCACACGGATGGAAAGGCACTCAGCAGCGACTTGAAGAGGTCCGTTGTCAGCAAGAAACCGAACAATGTCTGACAGGATGAGAGGTAACGAATATGGGCTTTCAAAAGCTAAGCATTGTGGACGAAGGGATTGTCGACGTACTGTACTTGTGTTTGGATGTGGTTGGTAATGGTCGGGATTGTTGCTTTGGCTTGGAGGACATCGCTGCTCATGTTCAGTCGGATCGGGAGCGAGTAGCCACTGGATGTGGAACCTTGGCCTAGGAGAACGGATGGATAGACAACTGTATCAGTAGCACCAAAGGAACAACGCAAGAAATGACGCCCAGCTAATGAAGAGTTCGTTCAAAGGTATCTCGTCGCCATGTATCGTGCCAAAACGCCTTCCGGCCCGCAGGCCATGCGAATCCCAACTCCGCCTCGTGAACCCCCGCTGTATTCCCTTGTCTTTCCTGACATTCGTCTACCACACATAAACAAGACAACGCAACTTCAAGCGTCGGGTTATTCTCCCATCCATCGCCGCCGCTCGACCTCGTCCGCGCCTGGGACGACCCCCTTCATCTGATCCATCCTGTCCAGCTGGTCGGTGTTCTACGCCTTCTTCCGCAGCTTGAGATAATCGCGGATCTGCTCATGCTTGCTCGCGAAGAACATGCGCTTCCGATCGTTCCGCCACGCCAGCACGCCAATCTCGTCGGCGAACCGCGCGATATCCCTGTACTCGGCATCGTCGTCAAAGTCGCGGAAGAGGAAGCCAGACGTCGTCTTCATGCGCTCGTTCTCGAGTTGCCAGAGGCGGATCTGGTCGACGACGGTGGGCGGGAGGACGGGCTTGCCGTCGGCGGCGGCCTGCCTGTGCATCTGCTCGTGGGCGTGGGCGGCGAGGTAGGAGATGATCTGGTCGGCTGTGATGCCAAAGTCGATGGCCTGGCGGACGGACTGGCGAGTCAGACGACCGGAAACCATGCCTGGGAACTTGACGGAGAGGTGGCAGAAGAGGGAGAGGACGGCGATCTGCAGCTGCGACGTTGTGTACGCGTAGACTCGGTAGTTGGTCTCGACGATGATGCCGTTCGTCTGGTCGCCTGGTCCGCCCTGGGATTGAGACAGGGCGTTCATACCATCGGTCAGGGTGCGCGTCGCCGTCGATACGTTGGTGAGGGCGCGTGCTTGGGGCGTGACAAAGTACTGGAAGGGTTTGTGGGAGGGTATGTAGACTAGGCCAAAGTCCATGAGGCTCGGAAGCATGTCTTGGCGCTCTTTGCTGAGGGCTTCGGTGTCGTAGACCTCGTCGAGCTCAAGGATCGAGAGCTGGAACAGGAAAGAGAGCATATCCGTATGCTTGGCCGTTTGCTGGTCGGTCGCGTCGAGCCACAACAACAGCAGCGTCCAGACCTGCGCGTTTTCTTCTTGCAGCAAAAATGTGAAGCCAGCCTGCGTGATTGTGGTGCTGCCGCCTTGGCGCTTGACGAGCTGGCCCGCGAGGAGAAGCTCCTTGACGGAGTTCTTAGGACCGCCGCTGTCGACGAAGCCGGGCGTCACGCTGTTGACAATGTAGTGTAAAATGGCGTCCCATTTCTGGCGTGCGTGTTTCTCGATCGACTCAATCGTGATTTCGGGTGAGCGCGGGTGCGGAGAGATCACGCCGAAGGAGCCTGGTGCTCCGTTGCCTTCGAGGGCCTCGCGATAGGACTTCGAAAAGTTGGCCGTGAGCTGTATCATTTGCGGAGCGCCTTGTGTTGGAACAGACATTTGTAACATGTGTAGACTTCGGAGTTGTGCGAGAGCATGATCTTTGGCTCTGCTTGGGTCAGCGGTGCAACAAACAATCCTCGACGGTGCGCGTACCTCTTGTACTCGGGCTTCACGCGCGCCTCGAGATCTGCTATTGGTATCGGTCCGGGAAGATATAGGAGCATTGTCACAAATGTCTTGGCTGAGAGAACGTCAGCACATAGTCGGTGGTCAGAGGCCTTCATGTCCTACCCAGTGGTGACAACATGCGTCTTGAGATGCATAATGCCGTGGAGGGGTTCAGGTACAGCTTTCTAAACGTTGTACCGGGCAGCTTCTCCAGGTAGTCGGCCAGCTGGAGCGACTTCGTCAAGCCGGCCGACATGATTGCCAGGATCCGCGCGAAGGGCGGTCTATACTGTGTCTATTCCCGCTAAGCGATTGATGTTGTATTCGATGGCACCTCGCGGTGTGCTCATGCACGTGGAATTCGCGTTCCTCGTCTCGATCGTGGGGGAAACTAGGTTTGCTGTGGTGTAGAAAGTCGAGCAATCATAAGGTGATATTGCAATGCCTGGGTTCTTCGTTATGATAGCTTGGCCGGCGCACTTGCCGTGGACAGCTGCGCTTGGATTGTTGGACAGTAAGTCCGTCCTACAAGACTTGTCATGGTGGTCTGGAAATCATCATCGAAGCTTGAGCTCACGACGCTTATCGAGAGACCCTGCCTTATCGATGGATGCGTTCTTATTGGTTATTCTGCTGCAGCCTAATGAGGCATGGATGTGCTCACGTGACGCGAAGTGCCGAGGTCAGACATGCCGACCGTTATCCAGCTTATCGCGGCCCTTGTCGGGGCTCTGACGTCGCCCTCACGAAGTTCATCTGGAGTAAGGAGTAGGAGCAGAGCATTTTGCTGACATTGCACATCATCTCTGCGTTTTTAAGAAGATCAATTGCTCTCTTCTCCTGCTTAGGGTTTCATGCAACATATCACGACGCGCCATGCCGCCACGTCTGACGCCTCTGCGCTTCGTGCGATCCGTATGTCCGACAGATGCTAGCTTATGTCTGTCTAATTGACGATGTTCCTGACAAGAGCGCAGGTTATGAACTCTTTCACCAAGGACTCAGGCCTTGAGCCGAGGTATATGACCCTCTCCAAAAGTTGCTTGATATTTCAAATACTGATCGTCCCAGATTGCTTGGTGAACACGTCCGTAACTCCTCACACTGAGTAAGATCGTTGTCATTGATTAACAGCTGCCTAGTTTCGAGTCACCAATGCGACTAATGGAACCGTCGACTTCGAGCTCGACATTCAGAAGCAACACACTGTAAGGAACACCCGGGGGTTTTCTCGATTCTTCGCCCGTGCTCACAGCATAGAACCGCCTCAAAACCATACATGGTGGGACCCTTGCATCTCTTGTCGACCTGGGAGGCTCGCTTGCCGTGGCAAGCACCGGTCGTTTCGCAACTGGTGTCTCAACGGATTTGAACGTCACATACATCGCCCCTGGCGGTGTCGTTGGCGATCGCATGACTGGGCAAGCTGTCTGTGACAAAATGGGCCGCACTCTGGCGTATACGACCGTGAAGTTCTTCAACAAGAAGGGCGAGCTAGCTGCGAGGGGTAGCCACACCAAGTAAGTGCGAGCCCGGAGGCATCAAAGTTATCTATTGACCAGTATAGGTACGTGTCCAAGACATGGGAAAATGAAGATTATGTTGCCCCAGCCGAGTTTGTGGCACCTGAGGAGGACCAAGTAAAGAATGACGAGGTCGGTACGCTGAAGAAGACGATCACTTCTGGGAGGGAGTCATCTGGCGTCTGGGGGAGGTCGTAAAGAAATGGCTGCAACAGAGACAAATACCCGACATAGATATAGAACTCGGTATTACTATCATATCTCTGCGATCCCTACTCAGTTGTGAATCCCGAACGCCTCAAAATACGCCCAGTGTGCCGTTATGCATGTTATGCCTGGATTCGTTCCGAACATCATCGTCAAGTCGTTAAGTCTTTCGTCTTGCACCATTACATAGATCCTCTGCCGGACTCAGAGCTTCCCGCCCAACTCTCGGCTCGTGCACACTCTGGCAGTGCTGGTGCCACGATCATCTCTCCCTTGGGACCCTTCCTTACTGCCCAAGACTCGCTGTCTCTCTCTTTCGCCAGATTACATAGCATGATGAGTATACCAAGCATAATCCATCGAATGACAGCTGTCAAAATGGGCTCCCAGACAGGGAACGACCGAGAAGTCATGTCCTTGTCTAGCAGCACCCAGAGTGCAGCTCTAGCAATGTCCCAGGAGAGAACGATCGACAACAGAATACCGCCAATCAAGGCGAATACGGGGGACTGCGTCAGGCGTCAGCGACTGCTGCCGCATGAAATTAGGGAGACGAGGAAACTGACTCTTCGGAGGTACTTCCCTCTGCCACGACGAGCGCATGCAAACGCGCTGACTATCACCAAGCCCACGGTACCGACGAGAAGCAGCGCGGCGATTGCAACCAGCATGCGGTTAGCTGCGATGCGGTTGCTGCCGCCCTGTCCCTGAGTCGGAACGACAAACGGGCTCGAAGTTGCGTCATCATATACGGACCTGTCGGCGTCGACAGCAAGCCCAAACTGCGCGATAGCCAAAATAATGAGGAGCGCGGTAAAGCAATGCACGGCGAGCCTTGCGAAACGGGGACGGCTAGTGTGGCCGCCCGCCTGAGGGATCTGGATGGCGAAGAGGAGTTCCCAAATAGCGCAAATGAGTAATGACTGGGCGATCAGGAGCATCCATGTCGATATCTGCGCGAGGATAGGTGCTGTAAGATATATGTTCCGTCGCCAATCTGTGTCGGGGTCCCTGTTGTCGAGATGCTCAATCTCGTAGCCGCGAGCTGCGGTGTATAGGATTGTCCACCTGCGAGAAGGTCAGCACAAGAGCCCGTGGTTTCGATTAGTCGGCCGTACAGTGAATACGCGACAAGAGCCGCTCGTAGAAAAAATACCCATGGCTTCGTTGGGTCTCTTTTGAAAATTTTCAGACGGAACGATAACAAAGTAAACACGAGGGCTGGAATGATGGTTAAGCCAGTCAATGCTGTAGCAATGATGGAGGCGATGCGTGTAAGTGCCATCGTCTGGTACCTGGCGTGTACGATTGACCGATGTCTGGTCTACCTGTATGCTGCACAGGTCGTCACATGCTGGGGCTTGCTGCTCCTTATTAGTACGAAACACATACTTCCCTTCAAGAAAGTAAATAGCTTGTGTGTTCGCTAATAGTACATTTTTCCTGTTCTGCGTATTCATTGATGATGGCCCGCTTGTCGTGGGTGTATGACTGCCAACGCCGAGCTGACGTTGGCCAAGCTCTGACCTCATCGTTGGTCGGCCATGACACTCGTTGACGCCAGGCGAAGCCCGCTGAGAGCTTGGAGCTTGGAGCTTCAGGTGACCGAGTCCACTTCCGGAGCATAGCGTCTCGGCGCCAATGAATATGCGTATGCCTTTTTCGTGCCAAAGCTGCACGCAGTAGTCATTGCGTCAAGTAAGTGGCTTACACCTACAAAATCCAGCGTTAGAGTTTCTTGGCCGTTGTTTCGTCGCAAGACATGGTGGCTGGCTGTTCAAAATGTTAGCAGGAGCCAAGGAAGTTTGGGTTCGGCATGTCTCACTCCTTTCTTCTGCGTCTCTACTCGGATCGCGATGATTCATGATCGGTCCGTAGATCACGTATGCGCATCTACTGAGAACAGACTTGCGAACCACCAGTTCAAGTCAAAATCATCCCCTGCAGTTTCATCTCTAATACCCTTCCATAATCACTTTCTACCAGAAAATGGGCTGAGACTCTGGTGGATTTGGCTCGACTAGCAAAGTCGCATAAGAATGAGGCGACAACGGTGAAACCCTTGGAGGCGTCCACGAATAGACTGGAGATGACGGCATAGATTTAATACAGGGCATCAGCAAAATTGGGAACACAACCCTTGCCGTTTTCTCAAATCAAGTCCTGTGAAGCATCTTGTCAGGAGAACCCTGTGAAACTACAGCATAGGGGGGCTAGTGTCAGAGCGTTATTTTGAGTAGAGTGAAGAGGTCTTCCACACGTGGTCCGTAGTAGATAAAGGATAGGCAGGGGGTCAGAATATATCTGAATTCTAGCCCTCCGCAGCCTACATATACGTTTCCCTAGCCTTTAGCCTGTAACCGACCCCCTACTCAGCGACTCCGTAGGGACCCCGCAGGGTCCCCTAATAGCTAGCCAGAGACTGAGGGCTGCGAAAGCGTATATATATGGATCGCGGAGGGCAAGACTTCAGACGTATTCCGTCCCCCTACCTATACTCTAAAGCGCTACGGATCACGCGTGGAAGACCTCTTCACTCTGGCCCAAAGCAATCACTGACAACCAAATAGATTAAAGAGGTCTTCAATAGGCCATATCTACAGTAAATGTTTAAAGAAGTGGTAAGAAAAGGCTTGAAGTCTAGTACTCAGTAGGTTGAAAGGGTCTCTATACCCCTTGCATATACGCTGCAGCAGTCATAACCCCCTGAGACGAGCTCAGTAGGTTCCTTCATCTCGCTTCGGATCCTGCTTATTAGCTAGTTTCAGAAAAAACAGTTCGTACCAGATCATCGTTGTTTGCCAGAGCCTCCCAACGATAAAACGTACCATCCGTTATACATGAGTTTAACATCTCGTCTAACTCTCTCAAGTCACTTTGACATCTGCGTGCTAGCTGAGCGTGCGAATGTGCATGGTTCAAAACGTACGATGCTAGTGCAGGATATGCTTCCAAGACTTGAGACTCCAAAGAATCAACTTCCGAACCTTTGCTTCCGTCAACATCTTTGAACCATTGGGCTTTAATCATTTCCCATGCCTGTTTCGCTCCAAAGGGATCATGGCCACTTCGTTGGTGGCTATCGACCAATTCCAGGGGGACTCTTCCTGACTTTGCTTTTGGCAAGTCTGACTGTTCTAACGGGCTATCATCGTCAAAGATCGCGCGACTATGAGGATCCAGTATAGGTCTGAATGTCTTGTGTTCTTCTGATACTTCAGCGGCGTGAACCGCGGGACAAGACTTTTGCGAATAGGATGACGCCGAGGATCCAAAGCTGATGATACTTGCAGGACGTTTCGCGCGACCGGATCGTTTCGCTCTCCATTTAACTCTTGCTTCAACAAATTTGTCGAGTTCAGATATCCGAATATAATCAAAGCAAGCGCGGAAGATAGCGATGTGACCTTGTTCAGAAAACTCATAGTACATGTCCTTTCCAAAGAACTTGTTCGCACCACCGCTCAAGAAGAGTTCAGCAACACTTTCATGGACAAGTTGTACTACTCGACTGTCTCCTGTAGTGCTGTCGAATGAACCGGCGCCTGCGAGCGCAGAAGCGACGTCATCTGCTGCGTTTGTTCCACTTTCATCTGATCTGACTTCAATCAAACCTCGCGAAAGACTTTTGATTTGCCGTATAAGCTGACAATCTGTCTGTGTGCAGTCTTCAGACCTGCTCCATTGTGATAAGGATCTTGGAGGGTCTGGGCGAAGAAATGCTAGAATGTGATGCCATTCGCAGAGTCGGAGACGTCTTTGAGCAAGAACGGTCCACTGAAAGACCTGTAAGGCGATATCAATATCATCTGCGTCGACTTCTTCTAGAATGCTTGTAAAGACGCTCCTCAAGCCAGGTCGAAGAGACATGATCCGATTGACAACGTATGTCGGGCTCTTGCCTTTTTCAAGATCTCGCAAGGCTGCGTCCACAGCTAGAGTAACCCAAAGGAAAACTCCCTGGGCTTTTCCAACAATGTAATCAAAAATTTGAGCCAGGACTTCCTTTGGAATATCCAAGTTTTCAAGCTTCAAAATCGTGTATTGCTTGATGTCTTCGAGATTGTTGAATTCCATCCGGGCGCCGAGAAAGTCGCGGGGCGCATCACGAAAGGATACGCAGACAGCCAGCTGCACCTCGGTGCGTTTAGCAGAGTCTATGAGCGATATAAAGAAGGCACACAACTCGGATACAGTCACGGAACTGCTTTCGTCGAGAGCGTCGACAAATATGAATGACTTCCTTGGGGCGAACCTTGGGTCTGTGAATATGCGTGTCAAGCTCTTCCTGAGATGATTCGCATAACCATCGAAATCGCCGATCTGACGTGTTTCCGAAAGTATAGGGTCGTCGCGAGGATCGCCCTCCAACGCCTTGACACATGCTGGATGCAAGTTGCAAAGCTGATAGATCAATGAGCGGTACATCCCTTCGACAGACCTTTCATGTCCCTCACCGCCTCGGTCGAAGAAGTGAGCCACTACACATGCGTCTTGTTCATGAGCGCGCACGTGTTCAAAGCTGCTTTTCATCAGAGTTGACTTTCCCGAGCCGGGCTTGCCAAGAAGTCGAATGAAGCGAGGATGATGCTCAATATCCTCGTTTTCCGCCCAATCTCTGAAGGCTGGGCTCCTCATGAACCATAAACAAGTATTTGGTACTGGGTCATCAATATTAAGCCGTCGAAGATGCATTCTGGGAAATGCAAGGGCATTGACCATCGCTGTTTGTCGGTAAGCGAGCTGTAGGACGACAAATGACGGCACTTTCATGACCTGGTGAGCTTACCCTTTTCTTCAATATTTAGGGATAGCTTTCTTCTTGATCCGGAACGATCTGGGGGCCTCATTTGCCATGCGTGAACCTTTTGCCTGATTGCGTCGTAGATCTCGAACAGTTCAGCCACCAACTTTTGGTAGTTCGGATCGTTCGGGGACGAGAACCGACAGATTGATCTGTGATCGCCGTCGAGAACTTCTGCTCTTTCCCGAATGTCCCCGAGGCATGACGATATGTCGGGCACTACCTGTGTACACTTAGATTAGTGCAAGATCCAGTTTGCTGATTTATCATCGTAAATAGTCACCTTGGACATCCTAAATTGCCCAAACCTCATCGGGATTTTAAGGGGCAGCCCCTCCTGGAAAGTCTTCACACGGAAACTGTGCTTGAGCCAGAGGGCAGAGAACGCGTGCTGGCATCGTTCCAAATCAGAATTCTTGAGCGACAAGCTGTCAAGAATCAGGGCATTGGTGTCCATCAGGACGAAGCTGGCCAATTTTCGGAAATTCTCGCCGACATGTGCAGCTGGACTGCCACGGTGCGGCGTACCCATAAACACAATACCCGCTATATTGTCGAGAATGTCGGTGGCCGCGGGGTAGCCCGAGCTAGAACACAATCCCAAAGTCTTGGAAGATGGTTAGAAACCAGTTCATGGCTCGAAGATTGGGATTCTCGAGGTGATTACCTCTTTGAGCAGAATTCCGCCGAGAGAGTGATTTACAAAGATCACTGGCCGGCCTAGCGGCCTCTTGCGCTGCAGCTCATGAAGGAGACTCTCACTGTGTTTAAAGATGCTGTTACGATTCACAGCTCCTGAAAGACGCAAGTCTGCAATGGATGTTTTGTAGCCGAAGACCAAAATGCGGGCTTCTGAACAGTCATTTGAGAGGAAGTCGCTGGGCCAGAAAGCTTGGGACGTCTGGTCATCACCAGTGACGGCGGAATGTCGCTCAGTAGACTTCTTGCGTGGAAACAACCGCTTCATCGTTGATGCGGACTGACTGCCCCCCTGGCTGTTTGATTGCGACGAGCTCCCCTCCCCTGCATCGACTTTTGCCGCCGAAGGACCCGCTGAGTTGATCTCGCCAGCCCATGTCTTAAATGGATGACCTTGCAGTCCATGGATCAGAATGA